AAAGACCTTTATCTCAACTGAAGATAATAAAAAATGAATTTAGAACAACTCAAGGTAAATTATGTTCCCTCAGTCTCATGTGCATAGAAAGTGACAAACTACGCTTGTTTATCATTTGATGATGTCATCAGTGACTTTGCTCTGGCAAAGGCAAGAAATAAAATATTTTAGTTTAATATAATTCCTTAATCCGTATAAGATGCTTCAAGAGATTAGATAATAGGCCCTTGTAAATTGTACCTTTTAAAAGGACTTTTATTTCTTTTTACCAGAGTTTGCATTCTTAAGTTTGTTAGGAATAAAATGATTTTATGTTAAAAGACTTATTATTTCACTATCTATATACTTCAGTTTAACCCACTAGGTATTTCAATTTAACCCTCTAGGTATCCTAAATCCTGTATTTGGCACTGACATATAACATCCGGACACATTAAAGGGCCCCATATCTCACATAGCTTAGGGCCTTATATCAAATCCGGCCCTGCATCTGATCCTGTAGTGCGATATGAGGCACAGACTTGTAACACATACAAACGATTACAGTTTTCTAGTGGGTAAATGTAGTCAGAATAACTATGCAAAATAGTCTGTGACACTATCTACTGCAGTTTCGCAGTCAATAGTGTCTCTGATTACTTAATTGATTATCGTGCAAACTGATACGAAAAAGTACTAGTCAGCAAAAGAATTAGATACAGTTTTAAATGTAAAGCCCATTCTTAGAAGTAAAAGAATAAGACAAAGGGGGATATTTGAATATCACTGCACTGACGAGATTCCAAATGTAGATGACCCAGAAAAACGATTTAAAAATCATGTGTGCAGTGTAATACTAGGCAAAGCTATTATTCATTTTTCAGAGACTTCAAATGTAGATGACCCAGAGAAATAATTTTAAAATCATGTGTGCAGCGTAATATTGGGCAAGGCTATTATTCATTTTTCAGAGAAACTTCAAATATAGATGACCCAGAGAAAAGATTTAAAAATCATGTGCGCAGTGTAATACTAGGCAAAGCTATTATTCATTTTTCAGAGACTTCAAATGTAGATGACCCAGAGAAATAATTTTAAAATCATGTGTGCAGCGTAATATTGGGCAAAGCTATTATTCATTTTTCAGAGAAACTTCAAATGTAGATGACCCAGAGAAAAGATTTAAAAATCATGGTCGCAGTGTAATACTAGGCAAAGCTATTATTCATTTTTCAGAGACTTCAAATGTAGATGACCCAGAGAAATAATTTTAAAATCATGTGTGCAGCGTAATACTGGGCAAAGCTATTGTTCATTTTTCAGAGAAACTTCAAATGTAAATGACCCAGAGAAAAGATTTAAAAATCATGTGTGCAGTGTAATACTAGGCAAAGCTATTATTCATTTTTCAGAGACTTCAAATGTAGATGACCCAGAGAAATAATTTTAAAATCATGTGTGCAGCGTAATACTGGGCAAAGCTATTGTTCATTTTTCAGAGAAACTTCAAATGTAGATGACCCAGAGAAAAGATTTAAAAATCATGTGTGCAGTGTAATACTAGGCAAAGCTATTATTCATTTTTCAGAGACTTCAAATGTAGATGACCCAGAGAAATAATTTTAAAATCATGTGTGCAGCGTAATACTGGGCAAAGCTATTGTTCATTTTTCAGAGAAACTTCAAATGTAGATGACCCAGAGAAAAGATTTAAAAATCATGTGTGCAGTGTAATACTAGGCAAAGCTATTATTCATTTTTCAGAGACTTCAAATGTAGATGACCCAGAGAAAAATAATTTTAAAATCATGTGTGCAGCGTAATATTGGGCAAGCTATATTCATTTTTCAGGACTTCAAATGTAGATGACCCAGAGAAATAATTTTAAAATCATGTGTGCAGCGTAATATTGGGCAAAGTATTGTTTATTTTTCAGAGAAACTTCAAATGTAGATGACCCAGAGAAAAGATTTAAAATCATGTGCGCAGTGTAATACTAGGCAAAGCTATTATTCATTTTTCAGAGACTTCAAATGTAGATGACCCAGAGAAATAATTTTAAAATCATGTGTGCAGCGTAATATTGGGCAAAGCTATTATTCATTTTTCAGAGACTTCAAATGTAGATGACCCAGAGAAATAATTTTAAAATCATGTGTGCAGCGTAATATTGGGCAAAGCTATTGTTTATTTTTCAGAGAAACTTCAAATGTAGATGACCCAGAGAAAAGATTTAAAAATCATGTGCGCAGTGTAATACTAGGCAAAGCTTTTATTCATTTTTAGACAGATTTGAACAGTTACAACGTTTCAATAACACTTGGAGATTTTTAAATGTGTATAAACTGTCAGATAAAAATCTGTAAATAAACACAAAGTGTCAAGGTTTGGAGAATATGTTAAGATACCAAGAAAATAGTGATACTGATGCATCTGATCTCTTGGCTAAATTAAATTCAGCCAAAGAATTATTTCCTGACGATGTAAAGCTTCGAACAGAAACTGCTAGGTTCATAAATGCTAAAAGTTATAAAATGTCATATCAGAACAGTGCTTACAACGTGGCTACTAATGAGAGAAACTTTAGTATTATTTACTAACGTTCACTTTATTACTCTGCCCAATATTGATGGAGAACACACCAGGAAACGGTCCAAGGTTCTCCCAGCATTCTTCTCTCACCACCAAACCTATCGAGGGGATTTCGGTTTCTCCGTTTATTTTGAGAGTCTCCATGCTTTACGAATACATTTACAAACATCTACACTTTCTCTGGAATTCGAACTTGAGCCCATCAATAGTGCAGCCAGAAAAAAGTACTACACCGATCAGGATGACAAGGTACTGATATAGTACAGTCGGTGCCAGTCAACAGTTCAACGAGTTACATGCCAGTAAACGGCCGTTCCCACTGGGGTTTATCTGAGCTAACAGAGACAACTGACGTAGCCGACCCATCTCCAAAACCCATTTTTTTTTTTTTTTTTTTTTTTTTTTCTCCCATAGGGCAGCAAGTTGAAAAATCTGAACTGCAGGCATAGTAGCGGAGCTAGTCGACACATGGAACTGACTCCATTAGCTCAGATAAACCCTAGTGGGAATGGCCCTTTAGCAATACATGATTAGAAACATTGTTTCTTTAGCATGCAAAATTATGTTTAATATGTGAGCGTTTAAAAGCAAACTGAAATAAAAGATTGTAATCTGCTTAATTTGAAACTCAGTATATCTGAATTGTCTGAAATTCTTGAATATATATGTAATAATTTCAAGAGCAGGAAAGGCGAAGGCAGATTAAATCTCCAGTTTTATTTTCAGCAACATCTTACGGTTACACACAAGTCAGCACATTAAATGTGCCTGTTCCAAAAGGCTTACATTTTTTATATATTTTGTAGCATTACAGAAGAAGCAGACAGACAGCAGTGTAGCTAGGCCAAAGCGTGGAAAGCAAGTGTGTAATATTCAGGATGAAATCTTAAGTCAGACTGAGTTAGTTTTGGTTCTCAAAGCATTTTGATTGGATGGTTAATATTGCTGTAAAATTATTATTGGCTGTTAAGAGTTTTAGTTCCGTTTACATCATCACTAATTTTCTTCGGTGAACCTATTCCCTGGGTTACTACTTATAAATACCTTGGTGTTCTACTAGACTCAAAATTAACTTGGCAACTTCACATTCAAAAAATTATTGCGAATGCGGAAGCTGTCAAAGCCAACCTGCGCCCCTTTTTCGCTAAAAATAGCGACCTGTCATCACTTGTAACAAGATCTTGCTTTATAAATCTATCATAAGGCCTATTCTCACTTACGCGAGTCCCATCTGGGGCTCAGCTGCTCTGACTACCCGGAAACACGTCCAAATTTTCCAATCAAAACTTTTACGGCAGATATTAAATGCTCCATGGTTCATAAGGAACGTTGACATTCATAATGACCTCAAAATTATTCCCATTAATCGCTTTATACAACGACTTTAGGAAAGATTTTTCAAAAAAAATCCATCTTTTTGGAAATCCAGTATTACATACCCTGCCGGTATATGATCCTACGGTTGCCTCTTCTAAAATGCGACACAGAGCAAGCTTACAACCTGATTATACTTAACTACCTTTTAAACGGCGTCGGTATTGGAATACAGACGCCCAAGTGGATGCTTACCTCTCGTTCCTAAACCCCAACCGCTCCCGCGTTAACAATGCGTAAGGGCATTGACCGGAGGAATCTGTTCTTTAACTCTTTAAGAAGAGCCTTCTAACGTTTCTTTAACAAGGGACAACCTACCTCCGCAGCCGCACGCGACTGCACTTAATTTCTCAATAGCTTCTTAAAAGCTTCTTCTCCACCCGCTAAACGGGTTGCTTTCGACCCCCTAAGGGGACCTTTTAACGTCGCACTAAATAGCGACCAATAATTTTCTTCTCCTCCTTCAGTAACCGACCAATAATTTCTTCCCAACGGGTTTCGCCCCCAGCCCTTTTTGCCCAACTCTCCGGATTGCTTGTCCTAAGGATTTTATTTTGCTGTTGATATCAAGAATCAAGGAAATGTATTGCACCTTTTTATTCTTTTCAAAACTTTTTGAATGTTGACTCCTCTCTCAAAATTTATTCCTGGCCCTTTTTAAACACAAAATTTAATTTAAAGAATTTCTAAGAGTTTTCTTTTTTTTTTTTTCTCATGCGGAAGGCATTATCTGAAAAGCTTTTATTTTTATAATTAGGCTTCAAAATCTTCCCTTATTAGATGAACCCCTCTTTTGATGTAATTATTCTATCTCTGATGATGTGGAGTTAAAGGCCTAGCCTAGCGCACTCCGTAAATTAACTTCCTTGATCCTTGTTTACATCATCAGAATTACGTAAGAGTCATATGACATAGATTTTTCTAGAAATGACGCAGTGCAGAGAGGTTACTATTTTTAGAATAGAGAAGGGAAATTGATTTTCGCTGCTAATTTAATCTTTCAACTTTTCTTACATATACATATATATATAAAGAAACATAATAATAGGCTAAAGATTAAAAAAAAAGTTAAATCTGTCCTGCGCTATAGCTTCAGGATTGAAGTAAAATGAACTTAAAACATCTAGTTAAAATTAAATTGAAATCAAACCAAGGCAATTCCGCAACAATATTAAGAATTGCAACTGTGGTATAAGATTTGTAAGTATTTTGTATATTTTTCTTTTTCATATTTTTATTTTTCGAGTTTGTTCTACTAATGAATTCTTACTTTAAATTTGATATGTTTAGATATTAGGTTAACGCTCTTATACAAGGTTGCAATTATTGATATTGTTGAGGAATTGCCTTGCTTTGATTCCGATTTAATTTTAACTTTAGATGCTTTAAGTTTATATATATATATGTTTATATATATAATTTATAATGGGAAATTTTGTGAAAATCTTTAAAACTTCCTAGAAAAACAATAAATAAATAACAAAATTAAGCGTCAGATAAATAAATGATCAGTCGATTAATTTTAATCCATGAAACACTTTTATAAACAACTTAAATTAAACAAAAAGTAACAAATAAATGTGAATAAAATAATATAATTAGGAATTATATATGGCATGGTAGAAATTTAAGAATGGCAAATAAATAAAATTCAAAAAAAGTAGCTTTCCCTGCTATTACTCAACATTCTATGTAGTGGCTGACAACTGGTCTTGAAGAAAGATGCATATAATTCTTTTACTAAAATTAATTTTTGTGCCTGCTGTTTTCTGGATTTTAACACTGGATTCATGTGTTTATATCTTCACAATAGTTTATTGCTTTTGCAAAACTATTTAATTATTTATAACTCTTATAACAAGTTGAATATGTTCCAAATTTAAAAATTTCTCTTTATAATTTATATAATGCTATAACTTATAGAATAATACTATTACATTATTATAAGCGTTAAAATTTATATAATTATAAAAACTCAAAGCTTTCAGATTTTATATTATATCCAGAGTTTTTTCATTTAAACACACACACATACATGTTTCGAGAGCGTTTGGGCTAAAAATATTTAAAAACAGCATTTCTTTAAAATTTCCGATAAACAGTCACATACGTTGGAGATAAAAATTTCCCCCCCTAGTTTTGCTATTGTTCGCTTTGAAATCGTTTTGTTAATCAAAAATTAAGTGTTACAAAATATGAAACGGGAATAAAAGAAATTCAAAACTCCTAATTCGGGCTTCCAGGTGCTTATATTTGGGTGGAGGACTACCCTTATTCAAAATTTGATTACTCTACTACCGCTTTTTCACAATGCGTGAAACATACATACATTCATGCAGATTCTTTATTATTTAATTTCTTTAACTATAATAGAGGGTGAACAAGTTGGAAAGTTATACAACGCTTTTAGTGGTTCAACACAAAATGCTGTTTCGCGACTAATAGCTGTTCCTGCTAACGTCCCTTGGGGCTCCTTGCAAAAAAATAAAGTCTAAAATTTCTAATGTAAGTTTAAAGACACAAACTTGACAGGAAGCATTATGCGGGGAAAAAACCTGGTACAAGAAAGATGGTAATTATTCTCATCATGGAGGTCCTTGAAATCTTCTTTTACACACTAGACTTTGATTTCACACCGACTGCTTAGTAAATTTCAAGCATCAATTAGACTCAATTATATAGAATAATAGCCAAATTTTTTGTGAACTTTTTTAAATTGTGGAATCAATATCTGGCAGAATTTTTATGGTCGAGTGGTGAAATTTTAATTTTTTATTTGTAATATTACTTATGATGGAAAAGAGGTCGCTATATAGTTTCCATTACAAGGGTTACTTTTCTACAAGTTTTACTTTCATTTTTAAAAATTTTAAATAATAGTTGGCAGACCAGATTGTGCTCCGTAGGCCATATGTTCAATATTTTTGTTATTTACAAGCTTTATTTATTTATTTTTTTGTGCACGAGATGTAAAATAATCCTCAAGATCTAAAAGTTTTCCTCAGCTTAATTAATGATTTTATAGTTCTTGCACTTTACAAAATGTATGCAACTTTTCAAATGAGTAATGGTATCACAGAGAGTGCTTATAATTGAAAATACCTATCAAAGTAAAAAATAATTTATAAATTAAGACCTTTATAAGTCTAAATTATTTCAAAAGCAAAGTTTAGGAAACCTCAGCAATTTAAACTTTTAGAAAAAAAATTGCTTAGCAAAAATATAATTAAAAAAAAAGCATTCGTAAATAAATGTATTTACTTAGAACACAAAAATTATGTTTTTCATTTCCAAAGCAAATTTCTAATAACTAATTCACAATAAATAAATTATATTTTAAAAATGCATTAAATTATAAAAATGGTATTTGGACTCATTCAGTATCAAGATGATTACTGGAGTTGAATAATAAAAGGCAAAGATATTCATTGAGTTCTTGCATGGCCTCAAAAAACTTTACTCGGCAATGATATGAACAAAATTTTCATAGGCAATAATATATAACAATATTTTTTTAATAACTCATAAAAATAGTTAACAGCATTTATTATAAATCAGATAACCAATAAAAATGTTTCTTAAGCTTCCAACTGCAGAGATTTATGATGGTATGATAAATTTAATTATGGCAAAACATTCAAGGGATACCTGCCTTCGTGGAGATAAAGGAGGGATGCCTTCGTGGAAGACTTTCTAAGGGAAACTAGTTCGTATATATGTTACACACTGGGAAAACCATGAAAATGTCTAAGCTACCAGCCCATTCGCCGGGATTCGAACTACCAGTGTTCAGCAACAGAATATTCAAACATATGACCTACAACTGACGAAATAGCATTTTTCAGAAGACTATCTTAATTTTTTAAGCATGCATGGGGAAAATGCAAAGGGAAGCATGAATTTATCAACTTATAATAAAAAATGTAAGTAGGACAATTTCTTAGCTTTGATTCCATAAGTAATTCAACTATAGTATTTTAGAATTCACAAATAAAGAAACACTAACTATAAACTCATAATATATTCAACACCTCATTAATACAGATAATTTTATTAGAAAAATTTATTACATATAAATCACTACAGGATAGCATTTACAGTTACATTAGTTTCTGCTGAAAACTGAAAAGGTCACAGAAAACCCAATATATTAGAAGTCTAATTACACAAAACATGCCATTACGGAATGTCTACATAATTGCTCTGGTCACATCAAAAGAAAATAATAAGATGTACAGATTCATAACTGAAATAATAATTAACAACAATGATAAATATACTACAGTTCTGAAAATCTAAACATCCTGAGAAAAAGAATATTTCAAAACATCAAACTTTGTAAGCTTTTTAGTTTTCCTTTTATTATATGCCACATAATTCTGACTTCATTTTTCTTACATATATTAATTCCCAGAATCAATTTTTGCTACATTACCTCTTTGCAAAAACTTAACTCAGATTTACATGTTTTTTCACCCCCTTTTAAATTTACTGATCTCCAAAAGTAAACCCAAATTAAAAATTTAAATTTTAAATTATGAAATTTTAATTGTAAACAAATAAATAATTACTTATTTGCTGTGAACTAATTTACAATACCATTTAAATTCTGAGAGCACATTTAAATTAAGTGCAAGTATCAAAATCCATGAATAAATATATAATATTCCTAAAAAATTTATAAAAAATTTCTAAGACTAAATTAATTTGCATAGTGAATAATTGTTGAGCAGGCAGGAGGCAGATCTTGTCAAAGTTGGGAGTTGGGCAACTTCCCCTTGATACATCCAGTTTTCAAACATGAAAAACATTTTAATTTGTTTGCAATTAAAATTTCATAATTTTAAATTTAAATTTTAATTAACTTTAAATTTACTTTTTACAAAGAGAAAATGTTTGTTAAATTCAAATTTCATTCCTTGCAGCAATGGCACGAGGGAATCATTTAAATTTAATTTAATTTAACTTTACTATTTTTTCTTATGAAATAATATTTAATTAGATATGAAATAATATAAATTATTTAATTCTAAATTTTTCATTCTTTGGTTAATTTTATTACATTTTTTTTTTTTACTGAGAAAATCCTGAGCACAGGAGAAAAGCTTTTATTTTTCAAAGCACTTTTAAATATTAAAAAAATTAATAATTAAGGCACATACTATTGTGTGCTCTAACTTAGCAATATGTCATTTACTGATGTGAAACCAAACTGAAGGGATTACATATTGGTTGAATCTTTATTTAAAATTTTACTTTTTTTTTAAGGAACTTCATAAATAACCTCCTACAGTACAAATTCGAATGTACTGCAAATATATTGCTACAACTAACACAGGAAAAGCTTGCAGACCTTAAAATATGAATTTATTTAGAAAACAAAAAGGCAAAGAAAACTGCTTGCAAAATTATCACATTCAAAATGTTAATTCATATCTGATATCCTTTTGTATAAGAATAATAAATTCTAATTAGAAAACTTTCAAACTTTACATTTATTAAAACCTCATGGTTATCAAAAACTATAGCAACTAATCTATACTTTCATTCACACAATATTTAAAAGAGATTTCTCAATATTATTCCCAAAACAAAAGCAGTGAAATTAGTTTATACATTTTTGTGAACTAAACGCATATACTGTTTTTACCTAAAACTGATATTTCACAAAAAATAAATTTCATTTCAGAAAATCACACGAGAAAAGAATATGAAAACAAAAGAGGTGAATGATTTCACTTCTGAATATCAAGAAAATAAAAAAAAAAAGTATAATAAATTTCCATTGAATATTTATATAAACAAACACTATTTTATCTTAATATTTGACTGAAAACAAATCTTCTGAGTAATGATGCTAAAACTGTTAATGTCAAACTGTCAATCTGCCATCAACCAATGTGTCTTACCAACTTATTTTTTAAATTATGAAACTAGAAATACAAAATGGAAAAGGTTTAAATTACACATATTAAAAAAGTAAGACTTAAATACTGCTTTTTATTATATAAAAATTTAACTACGGACTTGTAAAAAAACTAACACATTTTCAAAGATAAACATAAATACAAATTGTTTACTCTTTAACTACTTCTCAGCTCAATAAATTTAAAAGATTGAATTCCAAAAATTATCAATGTCTTTATTACAGAATCTGAAAGAACTGAATTTTTAGTTGTATTATATGCAAAACAAATCATTCACATGTCAAAAATATAATATATACCATATCCCCCCCCCTGTATAAGACACACCTTGAGATTTTTGGACTTGAATATTGGAAATAAATAAATAAAAATAAAAAGTTGTTTGGTTGACAGACTGGTTTTTATTGATCTGCTGGACTACAATTTAATATAAAAAAATATTACATAAAATTATTGAAATCAATGTTTATTCAGCATATAACTCATCATCACTGTCAGAACTCCCATACATTTAGCGGGACCTCCTCTGTGTACCTCCTAAATTATACAATAGGCTAAAGTGCAGTTTTCCCCGAATGCACTGTATCAGTTCACCTTTATTGTACAGAGCCTTGTCCTAAAAAGATTCTTTTGGAGTCACCTTTAACCTCAAGGTGATTTAGTATACACTCAGCCTTGGCATTCTAAAGATTAGTCTGCACGTCGCCGTATGCGTCATCATCAAATTTTCACCCTAGGTTTCGATCACTGCACTGCACTGCCACTATTGGCGGCGGCGATATCGTTGCATAAGACACATCCAGTTCTTAGACATTAAATTCATAAATGAAAAGTGCATCTTATATACAGGGAAATAGAGAAACACATAAAAATTATAATTGCTCTGCAATTCCCCCCCCCAACACACTCACATGTTAAAGTATGAGAAATAAGCTTATTTTATTTATAATAACCTTGTAAAGTTGGCTCTTTTTACACATGCAGGTATTAATAAACATTTTACATAGCTTTACATTTCATATTGGTACACATATGGAAATTTTAGCTTTAACTTAACATTTCATCACAGTATGGTTTTTCTTAAAACCAGGAATGAACGAAATTTAAAATAAGTAAACTGCAATAATATAATATAGAAGCTATTTTATAAGCTTTTAATAATAAGATTATAAAAAAACTTAACTAAGCGAAATGTCTGACTTACAACAAATACAATAACAAAAAGAAAAACAATTTTTTTTTTTTTTACTTGTTCTTATGGTCCTGTAATGCCATCAGAAACAAAAAGTCAATTAAAATAAATAGTACATGATAGATTATTTTTACAAATTTTTAGTTATTCTATTGATAACTGGGGGGTGGGAGTAAGGCAATTTTTCCTTGCCTTAATTTCACATAACTGATGCATCACACACTTTTGACAAATTTGCTTAGATACCGGCTATTAACTACGCAATATTGCTAAGATATTACACATAATTTTTACAATCACAGATATAAAGTAGCTAAAACATCACTACTGAAATGAAAGTTGAGAAGTTCCAGAAATTAAATACACTAATTAAAAATGCACACATCACATAGCCCAAACTCTATACAAGAAATATAATATAGCTACATAAAATTATACATTACAATACTGTTTAGTAAATCAAGAAAACTGAAATGCAGCTCATTGATTTACATAATATAATATGTCAAGACAGAAAAATGCAAGATTCACACATTATGTACAAAGAGAAATATAATATTTTTTAAAGTTCACTGAAAATAAAATTATTTCTGCACAAAAATCAAAAAGGCAAAACATAAACTTTTACTGAGATTTAGATGTATGTGTTGCAGCTTGGAGCTGCCAAATCATGTCTTAATAAAACTCCAAATTATAACAAATCTTATATTTTGTAAATCAAGAACAAGAATTTCAACACTTATAATAAAAGCAATTAAAATTGTTGTTTTCAGCATACTATTAAGTATTAGGAAACTAATTTAAAAATACAGTACAAAGCCCGAAATCCGGACTGGTCGGGACTTCATCAATTCCGGATTTGGGATTTTTCCAAATAATAGATCACCAATTTAAATCTGGTAAGATAGCATGCAGAAATTATACAATTAATAATATGAAATCATAATTTATAAAATAAAGAACAATCATGATCTAAAGGGTATCAAAATTTACAAAAAAAACTTCATATTTATTTGTTTACTTTATTAAACATTTCTTTCAATGTAAGTTGTTTAACACGTTTCCCACAAAAAATTCAAAAAGTTCCTTTTTCTTTTTTCTTGTATCAATAACAGTGGACTTTCCAATGCCATACTCCTCGCATAATTTTGAGACAGATATGCCTTTATCCATTTTTTGCAGCAATTCCACTTTTTGTGTAATGGACATCGAAACATGGTTCCTTTGGCAACTCCAGAATTGGAAACTCTTACCGGCATAATCGAAAGTTCAAACTTAGTTTTTATAAAATTGCCGTAATAATAACAGTCTGCAAAAAATAATAAGCTGGATCAAACTAGAAGATCAGGGATCAGGTAGTCTGCTATATTAATTGAAATGCCTTAGTATCAGTAAAGATAATTTTAGCCTAGCTTAATAGCATCTGTTATACATTACTAGCTGTATATCACAAGATTGGCGATGAAAGCCAAGTTGTTTCGCTAAATTTTGTCTTGCTCCTATTGCGTACTGAATTAAGCCTGAACTGTATTAGTTTAGTTATTTACTATACCTATGTTTATTTTTTGCACATGCTTAAAATTAATCCGAGTCCTGAATAAATAAACTCCCACATATACTTAAGGCTTTATCTAGGGCCGGCGCTCAATACCGCCTGGTGCAGTCTCTACAAGTCCTAAATTCTGCTACAAAGTGCTTTCCTAAATTTTCACTGCACCTAAACTTTGGATCCCAGTGCTTTCCATAAATCATAAAAACTTCTCATCCCTTAACTTTGATGCTCGGTGCTTCCCCAATTCCAAAAAGTTCGTTTTCCATAAATCCTGCCGTCCGGTGCCAACATATTCTGCACATAATGGTTTATGGTGAATAACATATCAGTTATTCTTAATTAAAATAGCACTAAATGTAATCTTTTGGCCTATCAGTTTCATTAACAAAATCTATTTTTTAGCATATGAAAAGAAATTTTTGTTGAATTTTTCCTCTTCAACATTTCTTAGGGCATTTAAAAATCTATAATCATCGCCAAGCATAATGTTAAGCATAAAAGGTTGCCACACTCTTGTTATTCAATTACTAATATAAAAAATGTTTAGACATCACAGCATGAGTTAGTACTGAAGCTATCATGTATTGATAAACATGCTGTTAAGAAAGTAAAACATCATAAATAATGACTCGCAGGTCGGTGTCAGGGATATAAAATAGGGGAATGTTTCGGTTTGAGATGTATGCCAAGTAGATACTCAGCTACGGAGTAAATTATTAATATTACAAATTTATGCTTACATGATTGTTTTTCCATAACAAGGTATTTTATTTAGTGCCCAAGTGAAATTAAGAATCAAAATTTTTAAGTGAAAGTCTCCGCATGTTATGGAAGGAAAAATCAAATGCGCATGCGTAAAGCATTAAATAAAAAAAAATTTTTTTTGTAGCTTTGAGCTCCAGATTTTAGATCATTCCGGATAATGGACGTCCGAATTTCGGACTTTCTACTATATTCAGTAAGATGCTTCATAATATACAGCACGGTTCTCAAGTATGTCTCATTCAGTAAACTGACTAAATAGTCTTTCATCAGTTCAGTTATTTATAAATTTTATAGTACTCTCCCTACAGGTACAGTTAGCAATAAATAAATATTTATCACAATTTCAGATTAATGCAATGTTTAGAACTTCATATGTAAGCTCAAAATAAATCTCCAAGTTAAGCATTTCATTGGAAAAAAGAAAGAACTAAGAAACTAAGAAAGTTTACAATGTTATCAAACACAATTTAATTTTGTGCAAGTATACTACACTTTTGTAAAATTTATTACTTTGCAAAAAAAAATTTTTCTGCGATAAACATGCAATTATTTTTTCTTTCAAAAAATTGTTAAGATTTATTTTTAAAGTTTCCAATTGTCAAGAATCTATTTTTAAAGTTTCCATTCAAATGAAGTGTCTACCATATAAAATAAATAACATATTTAAACAATATTGCATATTAGCAATGATTTGAATAGTTACTGAGAATTATTCTTCTTATCCCAATTTTAATAAATCTTTTCACTCACTAAAAATTATAAATGCTTTAAGTACTCATTAACAGTCTCACCTCCTTTTAAAACATTCTTCAATTATTATGCCTATTCATGAATGAAACATGAAACAAATTCAATTTCAATAACTAGCAGAAATATTTTACTAAACAAAGCAACTGCTATAATAAAAACCTAGCTATGAATAAAAAATTATTAGCAAAATTTTAAACAAATAACAAAAAAAAAATGCAACGCAACACTTAAAAAAAATTAATATAAAGAGAAAATTTTACAAAAAGATGTTTAAAAACAAACAGTACTTTTTTTGAAAAATCACTATAACAAATGTCAATCAATTCAAAGTCAAAATTACATATATAATTACTACACCCCACAAAAAATACTATTTTTACATGAATAAATTGCTTTCGATTTTTATTTGTTTTACCATTTATTAGTTTTCTTTATATTATCTGTTTTGTTATTTTTGCAGAACAGAAAAATAATTAGCAGTAACTATATGTCAGCTAATTAATTATTTTAAAAAGATATTTCCGTTCATATGACAGTCAAAAACACATAAATCAAATGCCACAAAACAATTTTTGCATTATTTTTATAATAATAAACTGGTATACAATTTTAACTAACACTGATACAAATCTGAGTTTAATCCTCTGAGTGACATGATTGCTTTTATCCAGTCAACAGTCCCCCCCCCCTCATTGGAAGTATACTACCTTATTTAAAAGATTTTGTTTTCTTATTTTCTTTAATGATCTAAATGAATACTAGTTTATGAAAACAGAGTATAAAATAATTAATTATATGAATTTAGTAAACAAATGCTGTTTAAATGCAGTTCCTCATAAGCAGATCCAAAGAATTGTGCCACTCAGACAATAATGAACTAACATTTTTATCTTATCTATTAAAGGATATTATTCTTATCTATTAAAGGGCGAAGTTGATTTGAAGTGGCTCACCATTTTAAGAGGGAAAGATTTAAACATTAAGTTTCCCCAAAAGTTAAAATAACTTCAGAAATGAATGCACATGAAATAATTTAACATAATAAAAAACTTTCTCTTAGTGATCTTAAAATAATAATAATAATAACAATAGCACTAAAGCATCAATATGTAACCAATACAATTTTCCTAAAATGTATTCAACAATACAGAATGGAAGAACATCATTTAGATATGGCAGTAAAAAATTATAAAATATTCTCTCATAATGTAGACAAAAAAAATTTATAAATATATTCATCACAGTTTCAGTGTAAGACTTGAGAAACATATACAAATTTTCTATGGCTTTATTTCATACCACTATTTCACTGGAATCTCAAGAGTAATTTGTGAAGGATTTTCTGCATTCTCACACTATTCAAGTTAATGCTAATTCTTAAATCATTAAAAATCATTGAAATTTTATGTATGTAACTTTTTAAAGCCAAATTTCACATTGCATAAAATTTCAACTTATGGTTCTGTATCATACATCTTAATAACAAATACATATGCTTAGTTTGAAAGATATGAATGGGTTATTAAAATTTTATTTGATATGGTTTCCAGATAACACAGTATGAAATAACTATCTTACACTATGTCTGCCTACATTCAAGTTCAATCAAAGAAAGCACATGAGCAACTTGATCAAAATGCTATTTACCAAAAGGTTAGAATAACACATTCATAACTTTCCTTTAAAAGTACCTTAAATTGCATTTTAATAATAAACTGATCAATCTATTATTTACACATACACCATGTCTAAATATACAAAATACATCTCAGAAATAAACCAATTACTACATATATATATAATTAAATTAGATATTTAATATGATTTTAATAACTTTTATATTCAATCAAAAAGTAACTAAGTCAGAATGATTATGAATATTTGATAAGGTTTAAAACCGATTTATATGAGAAAAGAAATGGCAAAAATATATGATATACATGTACAACACTAAATGAATCAATCTTCATAAAAGCCATTTAATAATCAACTAAAGGCCTAGTTGCATAAGATCTTGAAGGAGACTTTGATCTTGAAGGTGAATAATTGCCTCTTCTGAAAAGAAAAATAAGCTTTAATTTATAAATCTTATCATATTTATTTTCAATACATAACACCACAGATACAGACAAAAGTTATTCTCACATGTTAACGACTAAATCAACAATAAAAGAAAATCACAAAATTTTTACTCCTTAAAATATTCTTCTGAAACCAAAAACTAAATATACAACCTAACATTTGAAATTACATTCAGATAATTTCTCATTGAAAGATAATATATTTAATTAGTTACATTTTAAAACATCATTTAATTAAAAAAGGACAAAATGCTGCTTTTATTTAATGAAGAAAAAGATTTTTAAATGATAATAATATTTTACTAGAAGAAAATTCACACTTAATATACCTTGCACTTCATCCTCCCTCCCCATAAAGAAAAGTTATCAATTTACTTTGTAAGTATATATGCAGGACACATCTAAACTAATGCAACACTGAGGAGTGATTGTATACACGAAAACAAAAACTTTTTACCACAGAATACATGTTGTAACTATAGCAGTTACCTACTAAATGATGCACTTATGAAAATAGAGTTTTCACAGGTAAGTTCAGAAGCAAACGGAAATCTATCAATATACAGATCAGGAGAAAGCATATATGCATTTTATGTACAGTCGGGCCAATGATAATGACAGATAAGTATAAAGATACTACCTTTCAGAGAAATCATCCTAATATGTGCATTCCTGATCACATACTTTTGTTTGTGTGTTTGCAATACTGACTCTCAGAGAGAAGTTTCCATGCTGACACGCATTACACAGGTTAAGGGAAAAATGTTCAAATGCCAGCACATCATAAGAAATTATGCATCAGGTAGGATAGCAACCTGACATTACCATTCAATCTATAGAATATCATAATGTTGTATCGTATACCACAGTATAGTGAGTTTTATGCACTGAATGTTTGTTAATGTTATCCACATCGTCTATACTATGAATAAGAGTTGCAGACTAGTGAAGAAGACCTAGAATTTCCAGTAAACTTATTGTTCCTGGATGAACCCATATTTATCCGTGAAGGCATTTTGGATGTCCACATAATAAATGTGGGAGAAGGTATCTTTAACAAAAGCTCAATGGCTAATACCTGTTACCAGAATGTCTGAATGGGACAAGTTGTTCTGATATATCCCTCAACAGTGTTGCTGGAACTGCTACAACATGAACAAGCAGCCAGTTGTAAGAAAATGTGATTTCAGCATGGAGGCACACCAATACCTTTCAGCACGGTGGTGCCTACATCCCATACTCCCAGGTGGGCACCCATGGTCACCCGATCTGCCTTCTCTTGATTTCTTTTAATGAGGGTATCTGAAATGCCTCATGTATGAGACTCCTATCAAAACCAAGAGGATCTTGTTGACAGGCTTTTAGTGGTTGCCACAAAAATCTGGGGTACAACTTGCATATTTTCCAGACCTTACACCGATGATACAAGGCCTTTATAAAGAGAGACAGTCGTCATTTTGAATAGCTTTATTAAGTGTACTTTATTTCAGTAGTTACTGATGTTTTCATATGTGATGTCATTTTTACTTCAGTTCACTGTACTATTCTCAGTTTCTGATTGTATTATTCCATCAGGTCAAGCAATTATTAATGTTTATTTGTTTAGATTAAAATGTTCTGTTTTTCCCTTGCGATGGATTGTGTGCGTATGCTCCTATAAAGCTTAATTAATACACTTACAAATAAACATTTTATGGCAAAAGGTATTAGTTTCCAAGTGTTCTATCATCTCCTAATGTTTGTTGCATTAGTTTAGAAATACCTTGTATACCATCAAACCTTTCAAAATAGGGAGGAGATTTCAGTTTCACATCTCAAAAAATTATTTATATTAAAAAAAAAAAAATACAATTCACTTTTCTAAAATAATAACATCCACTTCTTCTAACTCATAAAACTAACTCTATCCTGTTAAATAATATTAAAATAAAACAAAAACAAAAAAGGATATTTAATTTAAAAGATCAATTTGCTCCTGCTTTCCTTTTTTGGGCATAAAATGTGGTTTATACAGAAAACTATCAAACTATTAAATAGTATATTAACATTTGAATAAAATAAAAAGAAGAAGAAGAGAGAGAGAGAGGGCTGCTGTTTGTATATCACAACAAAGTTTTATCACAATCATTTGGATTTTGAATGCAGATAGTGAACACAAAAAGCAGAATAAGAAACTCTGCAGCTGATATACTAAAGAGCAAGGTTTCTCAACTGGTAGTACGCAAGAGAAAAATAGGTGGTACACAAATAAGCAAAGTATTTTTAACTATTAAATTCAAAAATTAAAACTCCAACATCCTGACAAAGTTTTTTCTCTAACACTTGTAAATGTATGCAATCTGAGTGTTGTTCAAGAGTGGTGGTGGTAGTAGTACTTTGTATTGGTGGTACTAAAAGTTTCGAATTTTTGTTTAGATTCGTGTTAGTCAAAAGGTTGAGATCTGCTGCTAAAGGGTATTAGAACTGTATCTTATTTACTGCATTTTTAAAACAACACTTGTAGTAAAATGCCATTAAGAAATACAGAAAACAACTTTTCAAATGATTCATTCTCTTACATATATGACTATGCACATTTATAATACATGGGCGATCGCAACCTCATTTCAAAAACCCTGAAAATTTTTGTGCAGTAAAAATCCGACATAATTTCAAATAATTCAGAATACTGATGTGAAACATATACATACATATAGTTTCAAACTATTTCATTAGCAAAGCAGAAAGTATAATTTTTAATCTATACAAGTTAATTAATATTTCACTACATCAACTCATACTCTACCTATATGATATCTCAACATCTTAAATAAATAAATAAATAAAAACTCTTCAAAGTTAAGCTTGCTTTTTTTCTTTTTGGGAGGGAAGGAATTACTTTCTGGGATTTATTGCATTTATATTTTACTTTGCTAACAACTGAAAATTCAGGTATGATCAGCAAGATATTCTGATGAAGAGAATGGTTTTTCACTTAATTCTTTGAAGATTAGATTAGAATTTGTGGTATGCATAGCAATAGGTGTTGGAGATAAAGAGCTGCTAGAAAGAAGAGAATGGTTTATGTAATGTAAAGAATTTCAGTAAGCTGTCCAGTTATGCAATAAATTATTCTTAAAAGCTTTAGCAATTGTCAGAGGGATTCTCTGGTCCAAGTTGCTCATGCAGTTTTGAGTAATGAGAATAAATAATATTTTACTCTGTGCAGCATCACTGTTCAAGGATGTTTCTCACTCTATCGTAATATCTTGAGCCACAGTTTGCTCAGACAGGAAGACTCTCACTGAATTTTTCTTAAAGTTTTAAATTGATATAATCTTTGAACGATATATTTCCTGTAAAATAAAATTTAAAAGATGTCTTGATTTTATAGATTTACTGATTGAATCTAGATTTCACAAATACAGACATTCCAAATTTGAGAAAGTAAAATATTCAGAATTCCAGCTATAACTGGATCACAAACATACCTCATAGTAATGCGTCATAAAGTGGCAATAATCCGCTCTTATATAGAAGATTTAAATAATGAAAATACCACCAATTTGAAGCACTAAAAACTTTACTATAGTTTGACCATCTCAAATGCAACCTTGGCTGGCATTCTGCCAAAACATATAGAATCGTCCAAAAGGGGCGTTAATTGCATGCCGCGTGGTGAGAGGTTACGTTAAAGTCCCGTCTTTGCCCAAAGAGGGAATTTATATGATTGAGGGAGGAAAATTCCCCTTGTTAATCAGGTGATTCTATCGTCACTTGTCTTTTGCGCCTTCGTTTTGTATTTGCAGAAATAAATGCCAAGATTCTCATTGGCTTTCCACATGGAAAGGAAAAATGTTGAAATTTTTTTTATGTATAATTTATGAATTTTTTATGAACAATGTATGTTTCCTTGTTTATTTTTAAAGATAAGTTCACTAAAACTCATGAAACGATATTTAGAGAAGGTATTCTTTTTGTAGTAAAAAAGGACTTCTGTCAATAGATTTCCACTGCATCCGTGCAGGATTTATCTAGAGCATAGTTGATTTTAACCTCACATTTGCCAATAATTTGGTGTTTTGCATAAGTGATAGCTTGTTTTTATTATTAAAAATAAGTTCAGTTGATGAAAACAAAGTGTTTCACAGTGGTGCAAAAAAATTGCTACATCATGTCAATTACATTTTGCGACATAGAACTTGAAAATGGACAATTTAAATTTAAAATTTCCAACTCACAGTCCAAGAAACGAGCAAGTAACATTGCAGGAGTATAATTTAGCTCAAATATAAAAAGAGGGAATAATTATTAATTATAATATAAATATAATTATTTACTGTCATATAATAATTTATAATAACAAATAAATTGTTAGAATTCATTTTAATATGCTATAATAATGAAGATCATATAATGAAATGTAAAAATTGAATAATTAGAATTACAGTTATAATACAATAAAATTCATTTATTACATTTTATATTAAAATAATGTATATATAGCAAAATTAATTTTTAAAACACTTGTGTAGTTTTACAAATATTCAATAAATAAATGCACAAAATAAAACAATGTTATAAAACAGCTAATTATAAATGATCAGGATATCAGCTTAAATTACTTAAAAGTAATTTTCTGTCTTCTCATTTATGTGTGATTTAAATATCATGGAAATAAACAGGGAGAAAATAAGAGCAGAAAAAGTCTTTGCTACATGATTCCTGTCCATATAACCTATTCTGAAACTAGACTGGTCCGAATGGTACATGCATGCTTGTGCTCATGGCCGTGGCTAGGGTAGTCGAACTATACCTAATTCATTATGATTTAATATCTGTAATATGCAACTTCATAAAATAGGATGCTAAACAAACCCCGTTCAAGCAGTTTCAGCATTTAACATATGCAAAGATAACCTGGGAATCTGGTACTTATTCAACCTTTACTTAAAACACACTTTAAACAATACAGTTAGAAATTTTTTCCCAAGGAAGCATGAGATGTTAAACGTTTCAAGATTTTCAGTACTTTGATGATTTTCATGATATCAAAATTATAGCTTTCCCATACCTATACTGTCTTGAAGAAGAATATCTACGGCTAGGACTCCTTGACCTTGAACGTCTACGAGGAGAATTATATCTTGCTTCTCTACTGCCATATGAATTGTGTCCTGGGCTTCGACAATAACTGCGTTGAGGGCTTCTCCTTGGGCTTCGCCGAGGACTTCTTCTGTATGATTTATAAGGTGGTGATGAACATCTCCTTTCCTCTGCAGGGCTCCTACGTGAAGTTCGGATAGGAGGAGATTTTGTTCGACTCCGTCTACGACTAGTAGAAGGTGGTGGGGGACTTCGTTCTCGACTACTGTCATAACTGCTATTACTTCTACTCGATGGAGGGTCTTTTTTCCTAGGTACATGATGGCTTTCAGGAGCACGTGGATTAAAGTCTGGGTTTCTAGTCCATGTTGTATCACTATCAGAATCATAACCAAACCCACGCATTTTATGCCTTCTTTCCCTTTCTCTAAAGAAGTAAAATACAAAGAAAATTTTTAAGCATTTCAAGAGAAGAAAGGTCATTGAAAGATAAATCATATTTAATTAATTCTTTAATTAAGAAATAAAATTATATTGTACATCATTTCATCACAATTTAAACATATTATACACTTATATTATTTATTATCTGATATAAAAAAACACTGATAGATATAATTCAATTTCAGTTCATAAAATCATATTTTGTATTAACACTGAAGAACTAGTCTTATAAAGAAAAGACTTACATATCAAGGTACTTTGTATTTTGCTATCGACCATTTTTATAAAGGTCACCTAAATACTAAAATTTAGCACCAATAATGGATGTGATGCCATAACACACTTATCTTTGCTTTGCTTTTATATGAACTTGATTAATCTTTGGTAAGTCAGCTTAGTATTTGTAAAGCATATATAAGTTAACTGCAATTCCCCCCTCTCTCTTGCATTTTTAAAACATGATTAAAACTTGCATCCTGCCTTCTACAAAACAGCAAGCAGTGGTATAATTTCAAAATATACAGCTTTGTTTAAAAGATTAGTTAAAGTACTGAAAGATTGTGAAGTTCACAGAAAACAGGCAATAAAACACACAGTGGAATAGTGAAACATCATTTAGATTTGAGATCTAAGTGAATTTATGAGAGGCCAAGTTAAAAAAATGATAGTTTTTTTACTATCTTAAATTTCATTATGGATTTTTGGCTCTTGGAATGATTCTCGTGAATTTTAATAACTTTGTATGCCAGAAAATTTCAAAACTTGAGCTCATATCCACTTAAATTTTTGTACATCATTTTCATAGCCTGTATCTATTTGATTAGCTAATAAAATAAAGAAAACTTTGTGATTATCAATTTAATAATGAGGAACTAGTTCCTTCAAACTTCTACCAGAATGACTTGTACAATTTTGACAATATCTTCAACTTCCAAGGTCGATAGAAAAATACATGACATAACTATTTTTTCTACAGAAAAAGACATAAAATTCTTCCGTCGCCAAAAAGCATTTTTTTTAAATATGCAATATAATGCAAAAACAATTCAACACCAAAAGGATTTGAAAATAATACCTGAAATAAGACTCTAAAAGAAAATGAAACGTAATATAAGCTCTATAATAAAAAATTATCTGTCACATGAAAAATCATTTAAAAAGAAACAAATCTGTAACAACAGGAAAAGATTTTTGGCAATAATAGCAAGCCAAAAAAAAAATCTAACCACCAGCTTAAGGGGGATGAAAATTTCATCCCCCTGCTAAAAATAAAACCTGTTTTTAAAAATTAAAATTATATATTCTACTTTTGATTATACACTCATCAGCTCAATTTCTGATAAACTTAACTTCAGTTAGGCCTGTCAAACAAGCAGCTGTAAACAGAAAACTTGGTAGGGAAACAAGATGCAACTTCAATAAATTTAAACAGCATTTGATATAAATATACTAAAATCATTAGTACATACTATATATAAAACAGGCAAATCAACAACCTTGTATTCAGCGAAGATTTTGTAAAATCCCGAATACAAGGTTGGCAATTTGCCTGTTTTATTTTCTACATCGGCATGTTTCTCTTGTATCTTTATATACTTTACATGTTTTTATTTTATGATAAACATATCAAAATGCTGAGTGTTTCTTCAAAAGTAAAATTAATATAGTGAAGAATGAAATATTATACTGACGACAGAATTAACTGCAATTTTTAAGGAGAACATGGGATTCTTTTTGGCATTCAAAATCCATATTCCACACTACAATTAGAGCATCTTTATCAAATTATTTTAAGAAAAACTATAATTGTTGTGAATTTCATTCTTAAATTTATGCTACCAACTTAAATTTCATTACCTTTGTCGCAATTTGATGGCCATCTCTCGGAGTTCCTCAGCTCGATCCTAAATAAATAAAAAAGCAACATATGTTCATACAAACATATACCACACATATATTCGCAGAAATCTGTCTACACTAGATTCACTTAAAATTTATTTCAGACCTAGTTTAGATAATTCTAATTCCTGAAATACTTTTTGAGAGATAAATGAAATGCCATACACTTGAAACATTCTATTATTAATTTATATTATTTAATATTCATATACTGCTGAATTTGTAAACTGCTGAAAATTTCTCAAGCTACTTGAGTCAACTTGATTGTTTTGTTGCTTTTGTGTATTGTTATAATACTATATAGTTTTTTATTTATCTCTTTGTTACATTTTAGGTCATAATTTTGGGGTTACTTTGACCACATATCTTTGAGGAACTGAATTTATGACCACATATCTTGCATTAAGTTATTATTTATTGTACATGATTGTAGGTGTCAGGTGGTTGGTTCTGAATCTAACATTGTTTAAACTGTAAAAATGGCTTAACTAGAACCCAAGCTATAGACAGAAATTCTCTTTACAGACTTTCGTTTTTAATGGAGATTAAATTCGTCTTTTGATAATTTCTCCATGTTGAAGATTCTTCGATAATTTGGAATATAACATTGGATAAGAGAAAAATTATTGGAGGTCTGTTTTCTCCATGTTGATGCCATTTGGCAATTTCTTGCAAACTTAGCAATTTTCTAAAAGTTTTAAGAAAATGAATTTTTGAAGCTCCAACAGCAATTTTTCTCGAAGCTTCGAGAAGTCCGGACAAATCTATACAGGAATCATTCAGTCCTGTGTTACTTCAGACTGTAGTTTAAAGAGTTACTGAATTGTGTTTTGGAACTTGTGCAATAAGTGATATCAGTAATCTGCAATATATCTTGAGTGTAAAGCAGGATCTACTTTATCTCTGCATTCTCTCTGAAATATTCAGAGTTATCATTTTTACTTTGTAATAGAATTATCTTGAGTGTAAATCAGAATCTACCTTATCTCTGCATTCTCTTTGAGATATTCATAGTTGTCATTTTTACTTTGTACTAAAATTAACTGTAATAAATTATCAATTTCATCTTGTTCATCTAGACTAATTATTTAAAGACATCTCTGTAATTCATTATAAAGTTCTTATAAATCCATATAAACATCACTTTCTACAATGCAGTTTTAGAGAATTGTCACCAAATTAATTTAATTATATAAAAAATATTTTAATTTTTTTCTTTCTTTTTGACGGTGGATTGTTTGATTCATATTTTTTTATTAGTTCACTAAATTTGATATTTTATCTCACAAACTTGCCTTAAATTTTGATACACTTCAAAAGACTATCACTTAGTTAAAATAGTCTATTAGAATATAAACACTCCTTTTGCAAAAATCTCATGACTTTGCTTAGGCATTTTATTTTGCATATGAAAATACACCTTTGATGCCATACCCACAGAAAATATTACATTAAGGCAATTCCCTCAAAGAAGTCCAGAACTCTTTCAGAAAAATTACGTAACGACTGTTTTCCTGACATTTAAAAGATATGGATTTTAATAATCAAAGATATATGAATCTGAGACTAACTCCATAGAAGAGAAGCATGGAATGGAGTGATATAATGTACCACTACGAAGCAATGGAAATCTGGATAGATGTTGAACGACAAATCATATTTCTCTACTTGGCAATTCAATAGGCAAATTTATGCTTTACCAAGTGCCACCACTATCTGCTTAAATATTTGCTGCAACTGTGATGTCTGGAAGAAGAGGCACTATGATATGCAATTGTTTATCATTGTTCAGACTGAATTCCTTAATTCCTGTAAATGGATATCTTAAGATGAAGGACAATGAAAAATAAAGACATGCTTTTAATTAAGGTAACGATTTAACAAGGAAGTCCTTTCCTCTTCAACATGACATCAACAGATTCACAAGGCCAAATTTATTCAATAACAGTTTGACAAGATGAGAAATGAAGAACTGAACTTCACAAAGCCTTAATCTCATCTGTGTTACCCAAGTCTGAGACAGAATGGAATACTAACTGTGAGTGGTCAGCAATTATTAGAAATTTCACTGCATGCTTAAAGTATTATGAAGGCATTTTCAGCAGCAGGTATAACAAAATTTATCAAAGCATTTTTCAAACAAAAACATGTTGTTATAAAAGCAATGTTTAGACCACTTACCCACATATGCTTCACCACAATGTTTTAGGTATCTACCTACTTATACAGTATTAAAGATTTTTTGAACTGTATTGAAACAAAAAGTTAACAATAATCGTCACTGCAAACAAAGTAAACTACTTTCAGAATATCTACTGACAGATCCAATGTCATGCAAATCACTCAATATTATTAACATCAATAGCACTGAAAACCATTAAAAAAAAGACATTTAAAAATTTACCTGTCTTTCTTGCATCTGTTTCTCTGTTTTTTCCATTTGGGCTTTTTTATCAGCTTTATCTGAAATAATAAATTACATTTTTATTCATATTGGAAAGGCTAATTTTTAAATTGACAAAATGCTTTAAAATTCCTGAACTGTTTATAGCAACTTTTCTATCTGATCTGCTACAAATTGCTGGTTGATGCACTTAAATATTAAAACCTCTCATTCAACATTCATTTTCATTTTGTTTACATTAATTTCAGTAGTATTTAAATATGAAAATTATGTATTTTTCATTGAATTAATCTTCAAAAATGTTGCTAAAAATAACACTTTTAAAATTCATGCCAGTAAATAAATTACTCACATTGTTTCTTCAATGCCAGTTGCATTTTACGTTTAAGGCGTTCTTGAGGTGTCAACTTTGTCTGCTGCAAAGTGAAAAGAAACATAACTTTTTCTAGAAATCAGTAATATATCTGAATATCAAATATTATTCAATATGTTACAATGCCTGTTACACTAAATTAAATCAAATGTGAATTTAGAGATATTTTGGCACTGCTACAGTTAGTATATTTTACAACATCATTCACAAAACCTGATTCTTTGAATGCCTTCAAAACAAAGAAATGTGTGCAATTTTCTCATTTTCACTTATTTTTACTTTCATTTGTTATGTCTTTTATACTTTACAAGATAATAATTTCTAGCACATCCAAATCACTAATTAGCAAGATTTTTTCCAGATTTTTAAATTATTTTAAAAACTGATATATTTTTAAGACCTGGAAAAATTTTTGTCATTTTATTTCTGAAATAATAAACTTAGAAACAGTATAAATGAGAAACATAAAACATTCAAATGAGACAAAAACGGAATGGTACAAAAAGCACAGCTAACTTTTAAATATATAATTTTAAAAAAAAGGGGGGCATTACTACTTCAAACTGCCAAAATGGTAAGACTACTCACTTTGAACTGTCTTATCTTAACTCACTTTGAAAAGGACAAAGAATAAATTTCAAGAAAACTTTTATTTTTGGCCATCTAATGCATTATTTTCTACATTGATATACTATCTATCTTAAAATCTTAAAAAGTAATTTCCTATAACCAGCTGGCTTTAACGAATTACTCCAACTCACACATGAAAAGGACTAGAACTTCTGTATTTACCATAATAACAATGTTTTGAAAAAGCTTCAAGAAAATTGCAATCAGTGATTATTTTTTTTTAGATGTACATGCTATTGTTCACTGAATTCCTTCATTTGTTTCTTATTAACTGCTTAAAAAATGAAACTATTTCTCTTATAAAAACATAAACCTACATTATTAAATAATACAGAACCTGTATGTAAATATGTAAGCTCCTTACAGTGTGGAAAGACTTATAGCCACTAAATTTTGAACACTCACAGTCCTTCACTTGAACATGTTCGTCTCAAAGCCTGACTTTTGAATTGTTGATTGTTTTGTCATTTATAAAAGAATTTGGGAAATAAAAAGCAGTATGGAGATAGTTATTTTTTAAATACCACAGCCTATTTAGTAGCTAATATCTACAGTATATCGTATCGTATTCAATAGCAAATCATCAAAATCTAGATGAATCTATCTTAAATATATACAGGGTGCATCAAAAAAAATGTATGCACACTTTGAACTGTCATAGAAAATTTATTTTCCTAAATACAAGGTTAAATTTCTCGGAAAAAAGTAATGTTATTTTTCCTCAACAGGTGGAAGCAGAATCAACGATTTAGCTGTGCAACCCAGTTGGTGACAGGACAGTAATATCAACATGATGGACATGTTTTTGAGCTTTGAAGAGTGGAAACAGGTTACTAAGTTGTACTGGAGTTGCAGCAATCCAGAAATAGTGGTGGCACGCCTACGACACAAATTTGTGATTCATGGAACAGCGTGTGCTGTGCAAGAAAAGCTAATCAGGGCGACCTTGCACAGCTACAAGAGATGAATCTTCAGTTGAGATGCTGGAATTTTTTCAGTGAGCATTACAAAAATCTTTAAGACAAGGGTAACATGAGAGTTGTATAAGTGCTGGTTACACATTCTGAAGTACGGCAAGTTATATGTATACATTCCAAACTGGTGCAATAGCTAATGACGATGAGCCAGATCGCACGGTATTATCAATCTTCTGAATGGGTTCAGGAGATTAAATGATGACGAGCTTCATCACGGGGCATAATTTTCTTGATGGATTCAGATGTTTACATGTGAATCGGAATTTATGGGTAGCATAGTTGGGTGAAGCACAACTGAAACTTAATAAAGCTATCCACAGGCATAACTCTGTGTATTGAACTGAAGATAATCTTCATTGTTATTGAAAAGGCTATAAATTTGCCTGGTGTAAATGTGTGGTGTGGTTTTTCTTTTAGGGGATTCATTGGACCTTACTGTTTTGTGGAGAAAAGTACCTAGCAATGCTTGCTGATTCTATTTTTCCTGTCATTCATAAAATGTAAGGTTTTATTACCAACAAGATGTTGTCCTGCAGCACTATCTTCAGAGTGTACAAGCATACCTGATTCAAAATGTATCAACCCAGCGAACAGGATGAAGGGACCAACTGACTTTCCCAATTGTACTCCGGACCTTACACTGCTCGATTTTTTCTTATGAAACACAGTAAATGATGAGTTGCACCTACATAAACCAAGTAACATGGATGCACTTTGGGACGAGTTTTAAGCAGCACATGCAGAAACCCCATTAGACACTTTGGTGTGAAGTACAGAATCAGTTGTGGCTTGTACTTAAAAATGTATGGATGCTGAATACCACCATTTTGATCATTTATTTTAATCACCATTTGGAACATTCAGTTTGACTAGGAAGAACACTTATTTTTTAAACTGGAGTGACTGTAGCTTTACTTTTCCCAGAAGTTTAACCTTGTAGATTGGAAAATAAATCTTCTATGACAGTTCATAGAGTGTATAAAATTTTCCTACACACCTTGTATTTTATATCTGCTCAAAAATGCTTCAATGGATAAAATGCCACAAAAAGATATTCAAATTCATTTGTACTAAAAGTCTAAAATTTTACATTGTATATGCTTATAAATTAAAATGTCACTTAATAGGTTATCATCTAAAAATACAAATTTTGCTTAGATTTAAAACTTCATTTTATATTCAATTAAATTACTAAAAACTGTTGATCTACACACAACTTATCATTCATTAGACCCAGAATAAAATTTGAGCAAAAAAACAAGCATGAATTTTTACCATATTTTAGTGCACAATTTGCAAAAAATTCATTCAAGTTCATTTTGCATAAAATCTCAGTTTTGACCAATATTTAGTAAAAAATCAACTAGAAATATGCATATATATCTTTTTCAATCAGAATATTTTGCCATTTTTCAATCATATGATACAGCATATATTGTAACACATAGATATTAGATGCACATATGCATATAAGTAACCTGCACTACAATCACAACACAGCAGCAACTAAACTATTAAATTTTCTAATATATATTAACCTCCTCCCCACACACAAAAAAAAAGAGATGTCCATAATTTTCTTATTATTAAAAAATTCTTTAAAACACATAAAATTAAATATTGCTATTTTCTTTTGATAATTATTTTAGCTAACTATTAAAACAAAGTAAAGATCACAGAAAACACCCTTTTCCTATGCAAATATTCTAAAATTTAGTTAAAATTAATTCTAAAATTCTAACAACAATTAGGTGCACAGTGCATGTCAAAATAAATGCACATATACAAACTTGTCTCTCAAAATAATTCCATGGTTATCCATGGTTCATGGCATAGGAATTAGCCAAAAAACATAATTAAAATATCTCCTTCATATACTATGATAAGTTGTGCTACACGGCGCACTTACTAAGATTACCCAATATTAATGAAGTGTAAAAGGGTGTTCTCTTATTCCATCAAATGTATATCTTAAAAACTTTATGTGCTAGCTTTATTAACACAGTTTCATATTACAAGCCATACAGAACTAAAATCATTTAATGCTGAGTATCAGCATGTTGATTGAGGATAAAACAATAAAAGTTCTTACTGACTTTGGTAGCGGGACTGGCTTTACCCGTTAACGGTAGCAACCTGAAAATAAGAAATAAAACTCAATTAATCTAACATTGCATAACTAATATATTAATTTCTTAAAAAGATAAAGCACACTAGAAAATTCTTCAGAAGATCACAGACAGAAAGTGTTTATAAATCTTAACATCAAGTTGGCTAAAAAGTAATGCAAAATGGATACAGGATGATAGAAAAGAATACTCTTCCAAAATTTTAATTATTAATATAGCATCTATCATTTCCTATGATGACTGCCTATTTCTCAGACAAATCTGCAGTATCATCTTGGCTTTTCACAGATTATCCATTTACTTTTTTTTTCACCTCCAGCTTGCTATGGAAGTTTTTGTTAAAATAGTCCAATGACCTTAATGCGTAATACTGGTACTAATGTAGCACATGATCTACAGCTTTTAGTTAGTTATTTCTTATATGGCAGCTTTAAAATGTTTTTAAATATGAAAATAAATACAAATAATTAAGAAGCCATCAGTAAATTGTATTCCATTTATTTATTTAATAAAGTATTAAATTATTAACTTAATTAATTTTAAATGCTTTCCAGTTTTACAAAAGTCTTTGAAAGGTCTTTTTTATGAGTCACTCAGCCATTATGAATGTTGCACAGCACAGACAAAAAATAGACATCACTCTTATTATTATTGGATCTTTACAATGATTCTACAAGACAGCATGGAAGCATCTGCAGTGTGGAACTTCACATGTAGACAGCTTCAAAATACCCTAGCATGATAGAGTCGTTTGGGTATTAATACCATCTGTGAAACTTCTTCTGATGACTTATGATTTAATGTTCATATCCTAATCAGCTCAGTCTCTTATAAGAAGGCCATTCTTGCTGTCATTACTTAATTTAATAACCTATTAAATAGTTTTATAATTCAATAACAGCTTCATAAAATAAAAAAAAAATCAGTAAACTTTCACATTCAAACATGCAATAAAATAGCAAGAAAAAGAAATGATTAAAACAATAACCAGTTTTAGTGGGGCCATCTAAAAAATAAATAACTAAAAATGGTAGATCGCTAAAAGTGGTAGACTGCATCATTACCGTAACATGTTATGGTCACTGCAGCATTTTCTTTTCATGGAAGTGGTAATAACAGAATTCTCATTATTTTAAAACTTTTGCTAAATCTCTTGAAGTATAAAATATAGTATTGTCTTACTGAAGAATCGCATCAAGTCAACACATTGGCCAGCATTAATATATTGGTTATTTTCTAAAAATTTGTAATAAATTAGAGTCCCCCCCCGAAACTTGGCTTCTTTTTTGGACTTAACCTAACCAATATCTTTGAATTAACATCATCCTAAAAAATCCTTTCTCATCTTCAATCACTGTAAGCTTTAAAAAAGTTTCAACTTTATTGCTTGTGAACAAAGGAAAGCAGCTACGAGTTGAACATTAACCAAAAGATAACTAAGCTTTCAAATTATATACATATACTTTCAAATTATATAGTAACCTCTCAACTATTTCTTTACTGGTAATATGTGGATTTAACTCTGCCAAATCCGCATATTTGACTACATCCACATATTTGACTACGTCAAATCTTAACTCATCATCTTCTGTCTTCCTTAGCAGCCACTTAAGCTCTTACACTAGATTAAAATTTCCACTTGGAAATTTCTTAAACCATTTTTGGAGTTTGATATTCACTGACAGTTCCTTGTTATATTTAACTTAATTAAAATCTTTTCAGCTGACTACACAGGTGAAACTCAAAAAAGTATAATATGGAAAATATGCAACTTATCATATAATATCACATATCTATGAATGCTGCTAACGAAATGTTAATTCAGTTGAACTGAGAAAGAAAGGTCATGACATCAAATTTATAAGAATCAGTAAAAATTTCAATTGCCAAATCAGTTTTAATATACTTCTCTGCACTTGAATTTTGCTTAGCCAAAATTCTGCATTACTTTTCAGTCAACCTGCTTTTGCAAAATGTATACTTCTATTAATCACAGAAAAGTTTGCAGTAATTCAAAATACTTCTTCACATTCAGCCTTAAAGAGTTCAAATAAATTATGTTAAGATATAATATTTTATAAATTTCATGACTAGTTAATTCACAGCTAATAAACTCATCATAAATATACAACTCATTCTAAATCCCATAACAAAGGATTCAAGTGGATAAGATTGCTGAACACTGGTAGTTCAATCTTCAGTTCCTAGTGAACATTCTATACATGGTGTTCCTCATGTATAATATAAATATCACCCAATTTTCCTCATCACGTCCTCCACAAAGTCATTACTCTCTTACTCAACTACTTCACAAATTATTAAACAAACAAATGCATCTTAAATATACTTTAAATTTAAAACTGCATCCATTTCATTTACAGCAACATGCATTTCGATGCTAGAGCAATCAACAATTAACCTTCTTTAAAGGCATTCAATGCTCAATGCAACTCCACATGTTACAACATTACATTAGGTCATATTAAATTTATGATAACCTTCTAATAATATTGAATTTAAAAATTAGATACACTTCAGATTTTTCAATACCTATTTCATCTTCATACATTTTGGAATTTTTATAATCTTATATGAAAAATGCATTTGACACATAAAAATTTCAAATCTGCTAAAATAAATTTGTTTACCAATAATTAATAAAAAAAAGGAATTTTTAAGATAACATATTATACAAGATGCATGCATACAGTAACCAGACAATTTCTTATATGCAACCAAAAAAAAAAAAAAAAAAAAAAAAAAAATCACTAACCTTCAAATCAATTTATTTCTTTCAAAACAATTGCAAGAGGAATCTAAACAATTTTTCAAGCAAGTCAATGAAACACTGTTCATAGGCACTAGTACTAACCATTTGCAAAATATGTGTAACATTTAATATCCAAGATGTTTTCAGATATCTGTCCTTATATGGCCAAAATTTTGGAAAAAGGAAAAAAATCAGCTGGCAATAAATCGGGAGAATATTTTGGGTGATTTATCACTGCAACTGATTGCTTAGAAAGATATTGTTGTACTGACACTGCTCATGAGGCTGGCATTACTATGTAAAAGAAACTATAGCCCAGAATTTAAATCAAAAACAAAAACAAAAAAAAATTCTTAACTTACCCCCCTCCAGTTTTTAATTTAAAAAAAAAAGGCCCATCCTTATAAAAATACTGATGAATTGACAGATTTTCAGGGTCAAATTCAGGGTGAATAAGTTTTTGAAATTAAAAGATACAATCAGTAGCGCCTACTCTTTTGATTTCAACATCCATGCCTTGCTTTTGTACGAAGGATGATGATCCTTTCCACTGTTCACTTTATCTTTTTGTTTTGGGGTCATACTGTAGACACCAGGTCTCATCTCTTACTATGAAACACTTTAACAAATTGTTGCCCTGTCTCGTGGTAGTCAGTAAATTCTCCCAGAAATCATTAAGCTTTCTTTTTGCTGTTCTGTCAAAATCTAAGGCATAAAACGAGCACAAACTTCTCTCATTTTCAGTTTTTCAATTAAAATTTATGAAGCTGAAGAGCACTCTGTCTTTAGTTCCTCTTCGATGCTTTCGTGCCCACATTTAAAGCGACTGTACCACTCAACACTTATCACCATATACTGTTTGAATCATCTCTTATGGTTCAGTAGCAGATTTACCTAATTTTTAATGAAATTGAATGGTAATTCTATCTCAAAGCAAATTTTTTTGTACAAGGGTCTTCTCAGTAAAAGAAAATGACTACGGCTTTTGCAAACATCAAAATAACCAATTCAAACTGACTTTAACAAGAGTTGAACTCTTTCTTTCAGGTTTTTATTTTATTGTTTGGACTTTTAATTTGTTTGGTTGCTATATGGGTGCACCTTGTATATGCAAGATATAAAAAAATTGCAAATAAAAATCCTAACTTTAATTTGCAACAATTTAAGCTCTTCACTTATTTTTGGTTGTTTCCCCTTTTCTCCATAAAAAAAAAAAAAAAACCCTCCAAACTGCAACATTTTAAAATTAATTCATGGCATATTGAATCTAGCTTATTGCTAATTAGCATTACTGCTAATGAAATAAATACTTACACAACACCTTCAGCCAATAATAATTTCAAATTTGGGAACTGACACTGAAAATTAACTGATTAATTAATCAAAATAAAGCAAAATCAAATCTATATCATTCTGAATGGAAATTTCATTTTGGACACACCACATTCCAAATCTCTCTCTTCAGTGACATCAAGTCCTTTGCTGCATGTTGCCCTTTTCTCCTTGTTGCAAGATGTAGTAAAAGCACAAAAGTGATCAAAAATGAGCATACAGACTGTGCCCATTACACTCTGCAATAAGTGTTGAGAATATTTCTCAAGAATAAAAAAAGGGTTAAACTGATCATAACAACTGATATCTTATGCAGGAAGCTTTGTCATTTCATCAATCATATTCTCTGCTACATCACCTATCTCTAAACTAATTATATATATATATTATGTTGTATTAATCCATTGTGATGGACCAGCATGACTCCTTTCTAATCCACAAAGAATCAATAATCCACATATTAAAATTAATATATTGATTTTCTTACTTCCCCTACTCTTAGTTTTTATTTATATTTTGATTATGATTTATTTTCATACACATTGGCAAATATGACGATATACTGCTTTAATTTCAGAATATAATCAAATTTCTATAGGCTGAAACTGAAGAGAGGGAAAAATTCAAGTTATTGAAAACGTAACTTGTTCAAAAAAGTTACTAATTTTAATATTCAGTTCAAATTACAGAAAATCCTCTCTTAGCAAAAACGCGAGTAATTTATGTTCTGCTGTAGCTGTTTCATGAATTGTGGATTTACGAACTATTCAATAATAATTTGGCACTGTTCTGTTTTCGGGGTTAAAAATTGTTGGATAAAAAATGTATTAATGTATGTACATATATGTGTATATGTAGACATATACATATATTCGTACTTACATATATACATGCATACATACATTTCTGAATCAGGAGTAATTTTTTAAGGTTAATTTTTAAAATGATAAAAAGTAAATTTATATATATTAAAAATATTACATAAAATGTAAAATAACTGCAATTTCATTCAACTGTTATCATTACATGCCCTCTTGCCACTTATTTGAAATAGGTTTATTCCCCACTGGTAAAACTCCTCTACTGGAGTAAAAAACTGGATTTGTATCCTCCATATCCCTGAAGTTTGGCAAAATGAAAATGTTTTATACAAATGGTAGTAACTTGTAAAGAGGCAAGAACAAAAAACATTTTGCAACCAAAGTTCAGGAATTTTTTGAAACAATTTAACCATCACAAAATCTGGAATTATCATGGTAAAAGATAATGCAATTGCAGTCGAAAACTATCAACAACTCCAATGTCAGTCAGCTCTCTTCTCAGTCTGTCTATTAGCCATTAAGGTCAGCATTTATAGTTTAATTACATCCCAGGTACATGTTATCTTTATATTTTATGATGCACTCATTAAAATCTTTTTGGGATTCAGTCTTTTTTTTTTTTTTTTTTTTTTTTTTTTTTTTTTTTTTTTTTTTGAGATTAACCCTCTCACTGTGTACTTTTTTTAAATCAAAATAGGTTCAAAAATTGCATATTTTTTATTACATATTTCAAATCTACATATATTTTGAGTTAAAATATACAAAAAATTTTTGTAAAAGGGGTTTTTTTTTTCAATTAGATTATAGAAAAAGGTTGTCAGAATACTGAAGTTGAAGAATAATGACTAAAAACTGAATTTTTCAGATTAATAAAGTTGAAGAATAATGATTAAACTGAATTTTCAGATTAATATGTTTGAAATATGTAATCCACTATCTGCAGAGGAATCCGAGAAATTCTCATCAGTTTTGCTATAACTATCTTAAACATACTTGAAATCAGAGTCAGAAATATCGCCAGGAATATAGGTTATATCACTCGCGAAACGCTTCCTGCCAGACATCTTTGAGCTCTGAAAAGCGCGTGCAAAATGCTACATTACATACTATATTTGTATATTTGGCAGAAATGTGGATAACTAACACCATCTGTTAGCTCACATCTAAATAAACAATTACACATCACAGCAAAGCCGAAAGGAAACCTTGAATGGGGAAAGAGCGGGTTGGGTTGCACGGCAGAAATAGACGTCAAAAATTCATCCCCATGCAAATTTTGCTACTTCTACGTTCCCCGTGGAAATCGCGGGATGTGCAGCGAGAGGGTTAATGGTTTTGCAACTAAGCATACAGTCTTTCAATGCTTAACATCATGGTAGATGACCCAGTTCTCACTTCTTGTTCACTTATGAATGAATAGGCAAAGAAGTACATAAATACAGGGCTCTCTTATCTCATTCCTTTACAGAGAAAGATGACTCACTGGTCAAATTTCTTGAACAGATGCCTGCATTCATAGTTTGACATCTCTCTTTGCACCAATAACATTTTTCATACTTTGTAGAAGATAATTTTTTAAATACTTTTTAATACTTAGGACTGGATCATTTTTTTAAGATTTATACAGAATATTATCAGAAATTATTGATAGATTTCTTGACATGACTGATCTGTACATCATTTGTCTCGAGAGGCATTTCTAAAATCCACAATAATATGCAACATCATCAACTGCAACTTGTTCATACACTTAACACCGATATGAAAAATTGTGGCTATTGTATTGTCTTTATTAAATTCACACACTAAATAATGTCTCGTGTTCTCCTCACAGCCTGCCATTTTAAACCGTTAAATGCATGGATTTTTTAGATATATTTACTGTTTTCATATCCCTTTGTTAAATTTGCACCTAAACTGCAAGCCCCCGTTCATTTTATTTGCCTTTATTTGCACTAAGAAAAATGCATTTCTTATGTGTCACAACCACACTTTGACAAACATTAAATTTTATATAAGGCATAAAACGAAAACATATTAAATTTGAATTTCATCAAGATAGTTTCAACAGGAAAATTGTATAATAAAGTTCCTAATAGTATAAAAAAAAGCTAAAGCAAGAACAGACTAATGCTGTTAGTCAATACTTTCTCAAAGAGTTCAAATAATGTATGACTGAAGAATTTGTCAAAGCAGTAACTTTTGAACCTAAACTATTTTTCAGCTCATTATTTCCATAAAATCTTTGATTGCACAACACATTTCGGATTTAATGATAATTTACTTAAATGGGAAACCTTTAAGAAAATATTATTCTAAACCATATATAAAAATGCTAAAAAACATCACTAGTCTCGGAATCTTCCAAAACATCAAATGAAGTTAAAGAAAACAACACATGCAGCTTCTAGCATAAATTGTGCCACATAAATAAATTTACTTGCAATTTTGTGTAATTCCTGAGACATTTTGTGATTTTAAAAAAAGTTTTGAATTTCAAAGCTTTTTAACTTCTTCCCCCTTGTACGCACAAACATCTTCATTTTCTATTTTTGAAAAATGTAAAACATTTGACTAGAATTTAATATTTTGCTTATACATGATAAAGTATGAGCTTTTGTTAAAATTTTCACAGCTCACAGGCTCTACTGTTCAATCCTTATTCATAAAAGATTCCTATCTTCCTGTGAATGACATCTAATGACAGTTATTGACAAAATGAATAGAATTTTGCATATACCAATATAACATGCAATGCATTTTATCTCAAAAATATAAAATGTTATTATTCACAACAGTAAACAGCTTAATATAGAACATATATGATACAAAATATGCCTACGTATACATTCAAATACCATCAAAAGAATTTTAAAATACAATTTATAACTCAAAAAAACCTCAAATGAAAAAAAAATTACAAACTTATAAAATTACAAAATAGATAGTTTTTACACTGAAAGAATAAAATTCTATTAAAATGCACATAATTGTAGTTCTAAACTAGAACTACTAATAATAAAATAATATTGAACATAATGTAACAACTGAAACATATTTTCATTCATTTGGGAGAAAAAAAAAAAAAAAAAATATTTCATTCCTTTAAAAGAAACATTTGCATACTATTACTGAACGAATGCATAAATAGAGTTCAAGTTCATTTTATCAGAAAATTTTATTTCACATAAAATATCTGATTATTTTATACTTCAAATTAAATCAGGTTTTCAATGCCTCCAAATGTCATTTCCACAAAACTGCCGATATTTAAATAATAAAATAATAACAGCACAATCCTTAAAGAATTACCTTTCAAATTATTCATCATCATTAATTTTTTCTTAATATTTAGTAAAAAATGCAAAATAATTTTGGAATTTAAGACATTGTAAAACAAATCTGCAATATAAAATTAAGTACTTAACGTATTATCCAGTCGACCAACAAATTGCACAATTTGGCACCAATCACGGGTGACTGTGCCCTTTACAATTCCACAGTAACAACTGACAATTGGTGGACATTGCTGGGATAATATATAAGTACCCAAAATATTTTTACTACCAGTAAAAACATTATACAGAAATGTTTCCTTCCTTATGAACTTCACTTGATTAATGAACATGTTCTCAAAGAACGAAATCTGTTTGGAGATGAAAAGAGTTCAGAACTTCACTCTTTTTAGAAAACCCAAAATCTGAGAGGTTTCCTAAAGTCTGCTGTAAAGGATAACATACAGTTCTCTCCTTTTATTAATGACAAAAGAAAACCTGTTCAGACAAGTTGAGAAACAGACTGTCTTGAGACAGATGCCTCAGAAATTTTTGTTGCTGCCTTATCTAACATGCCAATTCCTTCCACATCTCATACAGTCCTCTCATCATAAATGTTCCCTTTACTTGCAGATGATTCATTTGAAGATACATCAGACTGATCACCATTCATATAAAAATCTACTATCCTAATCTTCACCTCATCTACACGTGCCTCAAAGATGACAATCTAAAGTATGTAGTGTAAAGCAAAGTAATTCTTTACTTATAATTTACTGAAAAATTTACATGTATTTTTTTTTCATTTTAGTAATTTTTAATAGTTTATTTGATGGTATTTATAGTTCTCATTCCACAATGCATATATATATAAATGAGTAAGATAACTATATAAATACAAAAGCCCACAAAAAAAAAGCTCACTGTGATAATTGCCCACAGTGATGAAAGCGCACTTTGATAAAAAGCTCATGCAACAACCCACATTGATAAAAGCCCAAATATTCAAAAGGGACTTACGGTGTTTTATTACTATAAAATGCAGTTATAATTTTAATTATAGTAAATGGAGTATTCAGATCTGAATTTTAATGTCTCAAAAATATGTCTTTGTTTATTTTATCACTACTTTATTTGTTTATTTTGTTAGGCAGAAAACAAGCTTTCTGCTCCCAACAGTTTTATGTAATTAAGCACAATAAAAACTTGGTTAAGAGATATTTTATTCTTTACTTTAGATTGAGTCTATTATCAAAGTTTAAACATATTCCTGATTGAAAGGTTTTCTGAATGTAACAATTATAATTTGGTGCTTTTCTTTTAGAATTCTGAATAAATTAAAACTGTGAGCTGACACCCTGTCAGAAAATAAATTCCAAGTGTAGCCTCTTAATCTTTCAACTACAACAGTTTGGAATAGCGTTTTTAATTTTAATAATTGGGGGATGTAACATTTAGAAATTAACATATCTACAAATTTAATTACAATCACCTCAAATTATAGTAATAAATACATAGCATTTTATTTAGCATTTTATTAGAGTTTATTACAGCTGTTAGAGACACTAGCCAATCAGCAAATAGCATATTTTCCACTCTGCAGTTTTACTGCAAAAACAGTGAATTATCCCTTTAAAATGGTTGAAAAATATTTTCAAACATCTTCAGTAATATTTAATTCCTTTCATTTTCCACTTATTGAAAATTTTCAAAATAATTTAAATTGTAGCTAAATTCTTAGTAAAAATTATTCAAGAACTAGACTAAAGACTATGCAAGAAAGGGGTTAACTTCAATTACAAGCAGAATTTCAGATATTGTTATTTTCTAATAATTAACAAAAATATCTAAAATCCTCTTTAATTCTCAACAACCTCTAATTGCTCTCCTGCCACCCCCTCCCTTCTGAAGCCGTTCTTTGGCACCCCAGACTCGATAGGGGATAAAGCAATTAAGCAAGGCTGTCCTCTCTTTAGCATGTTTTTCTCTCAGCTGGGGGCAAAAGAAAAGGAACGCAATGGTTTCCCCAACTGAATAGCCAGTGGCCAGATAGAAAACTGCATGAGAAAAGCCCACAAGACGAATGCCCACTTAAAAACATCACACATTTTCAGGAAATCCAAAATAGCTATGACAATTATAATTTGGTGATTTTCTTTTAGAATTCTGAATAAATTAAAACTGTGAGCTGACACCCTGTCAGAAAATAAATTCCAAGTGTAGCCTCTTAATCTTTCAACTACAACAGTCTGGAATAGCGTTTTTAATTTTAATAATTGGGGGATGTAACATTTAGAAATTAACATATCTACAAATTTAATTACTGAAAAATGTTACGACTAATAATTATTATGATTAAAAATGAAACTTCATGTGGGAGTGAAATTGATTTATGTAAAATCTAATTTACATAAAATTATGTAAAGTTGGCAAAATTTAACTAAATTATTTGAAACCATTCTTTTAATTCACTATTAAAACAGTATTTGTGATAGCGCACATATATGTTTTCTTAATCATAATAGAATAAGACACTTTTATCTTTTTTGTTGAAATTGAAGTTTGGCTTTTAATTCTCTATATTAAATTCATTATATGCAAAATTTTCTGAATTGTTAAATTATTCATAAATTATTCTCTGCATATGATGGAAATTTGCATACATTTTATATTCCTTATAGTTTTGCAGAATTAAAAGAAGCAGTGTGGCCAGTATTCCCTTTCACCTCCATTTGTCGAACTTATAAGAGGCGCGTAAATATAATAACAAAGTTACACATACAAGTATATGTTTTTAATTACATTATTTTGATTGAATCTCTGTTTCATATACATAGAGGGTTTTAATTTAGTCACAGCCCAAAATCTGCTACTTAAATTTATTGTTAAATTATTTGTTATTAATTTAATTTATTTTATATTCTGATTCTGCTTTATACAGCTGAAAAAAAAAATGGAAAATATTAATTTTAACGTAACATATATATCGGTGTGGGATTTTGTCAGTGTGGGCTTTTATCAGCATGGGCTTATATCTATGTGGGCTTTTATCAATATGCGCTTTCATCAGTGTGGGTATTCATCGCATGGAGAATTATCACAGTGGGGTCTTTTTTGTGGGCTTTTGTTGCATGCACTTTTGTCCAGTGGGCTTTTATCTAGTCACCTTAAAATATATGTGGCCTCAAACAAGAAACGTTTCTATTTTACAATTTAAACTAATTTTTATGAAAACAAACTTAATCAAAGAGATCATGGAGTAAAACTATAGATTAATAAATTAGTATGTGCAGATCTAATCTAACTATTATTTTTGTTTTAAAAATGCAAAGTGCTTTGAAACAAAATACAAAATTTTCCTAAAAAACAGGAACTGAGAGACCACATTAAAAATTAAATTCATTATTTGTTGTAAATTAATTTTTTTTAAAATCTGACAGTGCCAAAAGATGAATTTTAGTCATTTAAAAAACACTTCTGTAACTGGAAGTATTTGACTACAACTAACAAATGTTAAAATAAAGGACTGTGAAAAAAACGGAAATGAAGAACTTTTAAGCCAGGTGAGGGTATATATACCCACCACCTTACCCGATTGCAATAAAAAAGGGAGATGCACAACTAGATGTTACAGCAGTTCCATATTAAAAATTTCAACAATCTAAAGCTAATCTATTTTGAGTTATGAAAGATATGTAATGAAAAAAGTCTCCTTTGAATCCATTTTGAAAAAAGCAATCCTTTATTTTGTCTGTACATACATACATCACACACAAAAATAGTCAAATGAATTCAGTGGCAGTTAAAATGGATATTTCAAATATCCATTTTAACTCCAAAATGGATATTTCCAATGGATCCAAAATGGATATTTGAAATATCCATTTTTTCTCAAATTTTTTGCAATTATAATACTTTCTTTACTTTGTACAAGGAAGTGAAAAAGATAAGCTTGATCATATTTAATATTTTCAGGTATTTGATAACTCGATGGAAAAAAATTCCTGAGTTTTTAAACAAAACCACTGACAAGTCTGAATTACACATAATGATTCTAAATTAAAAAAAAAAAAAAAAAAAAAAAAAAAAAAAAAAAAACAGAGCAACAAATAGTTTTACAAAATTTTTGGCTTTATCCCATCATGAGACTTTTTTATCACTTCGTGCATATTAACATATAATTTAATATATTTTTCTTTCTTACATTCTTTAATAATGTATATGTCCTTTTAATGAAGATAAGTTTATGAAAATACAAGCTAAAGTAAGTATTTATATAAATTTCGCTAATAAATGCTTTTTAAACAAACCTGGTGTACAGGTCTTCCCGATAGATCCAAAAACCCGCACCGCTCAGATAGTTAATGTTTTTCTTTTTTTTTAATACTCATAAAACAGCACTGCAGCATTTGTTTTCATAGGAACAAACTCTGTAAATCATTCAATTTGCATGCATGTTCATGGCATGATGAGAATTTCAGAATTCTTTGGAAAATTTTTATTGATGAGTGTTAAAAATAAACTGTTATGCTGAACAACCATATCAGGGAGATGGTTTTATACCTACATCCATGCAGAAAATATTGGAAGGCCATATCATTAAATGAAATTCATGCATTTTCCATGCCAGTCATGTTATAAGGCATTGTAAGTCTAGGATTGTTTTGCCTTGTTTTAAAAATATATCAGAATAAGTTGAAATCTTGCATCTAGAAACTTCAAGATGTGTAGCACATTCAAAATATATACTCATAAAATACTACATAAAATGAATTTAAACTCAAACTAGCTTATATGAAAAACAGCAACATTAAAATAATAATTTTTAAAGACACTATTATTAAATTTTTGGTCAATAAGTAATTTATTACATACATTTTGTCTAAAACTGCAGTTTTCTTATAGTTGCTATGATACTCGTGTATTATTCCGCCGACCATAAAATTGTGGCCAAGCAGAACAATTTAGTACAATTATGTACCCAATTATGGAAAAGCATGACATAAAAACATATTCATCACATCTGCACTTTCATTTGATCAAAATTTTCAATAAGCCACCTTTTAATGCATAAATTAACTGTTATTAATATATATATATATACAGTACAAATTCTTTAATCTGGACGTCCATAATCCAGAATGATCTATAATCCGGACCTCAAAGCTACAAACTTTCTAAGCATACATAGGGTTTACGCATGTGCATAATACCTTTATTGATCAAACTTAATTTTCAATAAGCCACCTTTTGATGCATAAATTAACTGTTATTAATATATATATATATATATACAGTACAAAGTCTTTAATCTGGATGTCCATAATCCAGAATGATCTATAATCCGGACCTCAAAGCTACAAACTTTCTGTGCATACGTAGCATTTACGCATGCACATAATACCTTTACACATGCGCATATGCGTTTACGCATGCTCGTTTAATGTGTAACGGACGGTATAAGCTAGGTTAAAAGTATCTATTTCAGTTAATGTTGCAGATTGCGTCGTTCCTTAATCTTCTAAATTGGATCTGGCTTATTATTTTTTGCAGACTGTTAGAGCAATTTTATAAAAAGTAAGCTTGAACTTCCAATTATCTCAAAAAGAGTTTCCGATTCTGGAGCTGCCAAAGGATCTACAAAGCGAAAGCATGTTTCAATGTCCATCAAACAAAAAGTGGAATTGCTGCAAAAAATGGATAAAGGCATGAAGAAAGTGACAGAGAGGCTAGTGAAAACGAAAAAATTTCGATTGAGAAGTTAGTCGGTATTCTCGGCACAGCAATTACAGGACTTGAACAGCGAAACTTTGTAACTGAACAAGAAATTATGTCTGTTTATAGAATTAAAGAGAAAGTATTAGCACATAAAACGGAGCAACTTAAACAACTTACATTGAAAGAAATGTTTAATAAAGTAAACAAATAAATATTAAGTTTTTTTTTTTTTTTTTTTGTAAATTTTGATACCTTTTAGATCATAATTGCTCTTTATTTCATAAAATACAGTTTTATATTTTAAATTTTACAATTTCTGCATGCCATCTGACCAGATTTAAATTGATTATCTATAATCCGGAAAAACCCCTAATACGGAATCGCCGAAGTCCTGACAAATCTGGATTAAAGATACTTTGTATATATACCACAAAGGTCTTTTTTAGTTTGTTCTCCTTTCTTTAATTATATATTATGCGGGGGTGCACATATGTATGTAATAATTCAGAAGATAACTTTATTAAAAGATTGCTGTTAAAGATGGGATGTTTATCTGTTACTACTTGGAAAGCATTAATGCGTAGATACATATGATGACATAATATGTATCTACAAGATGAGAAAAGTTTCCAGACATGGCTGTTGATTTCAACATGTTATTTTATTTCTTGACAACTAATTCTTTAGGAACATATTCTTCTTTTCAGGTCATCACTTTGGATGCAATAATCACCCCAAAATTTTATATAACTGATCACATTTCAAGACAATGGATGAAACTGAGAAATAAGCAACAAATGTTAGCAAAGTGCTTTGAAACCGACAGTGAGGACAAGGCAGGGAAGTGGATGAGCATTTCAGTAAAGGAGTATTTATAAGAGTTGGATTTCCATTATTTAAATTTTAGACTGACTGAATAAAAATACCTACAATGTTATTTTTACATAATGGTGCAATGTGGATTAATTTTCAGATGACATATTTTAGACTGCCTGGTTGTGCATCTACTTGAGTTTGCAGTACCAGCAATTAATAAAACTAGTACTTTAGATTCCAGGAAGGGTACATAGCCAAATCAAAAGGACTAAAGCTAAATTATAGTAGTTTTTTTTTTCATATTTTATATCTCATATATTTATAATGGTATAAATTAAGGATATAAATTAACTGCTATTGTTTATCTTTTACTGCATCATGAAAAAATAAAATTAAGGATATAAATTAACTGCTATTGTTTATCTTTTACTGCATCATGAAAAAATATTAAATTTGATAATTGACTTTTTGAAAATAATCAAGCAAAGAATTAAAAGTTATAAGATCATAACAAGAATAAAAGTGCTCATTACTGGCTATGATATGGTCAACAAAACAATAATAGATTGGAACAATTTCCCACAGGAAGTTTATACTCACAGATCTTAAATAAAGAAGCTTCATGTCATTTATAATTCTGCACGGATGACTGGTGCAACCTTAGTGGGATTTCAGCCAACTTTCACAGTCAAGATAATTTTTAGCTTTTTTTTTTTTTTTTTTTTTTTTTTAGCTGATAAAATTAGCATGATTATACTTAAAAACTTACATATTTATTCAACAACAAAGGAAAATATTTATTTCTGAATGCTACACTACAGGAGTTATTTTAAGCATCGGTAAAAATACTTTTTCAACTCTGAAAGTCAAAATGAATATATATATTTCAAACAAACCTTGCATTGTTCCTTTTTTTTTTTTTTTTTTTAAACTTTGCCTAGTGGATTACTTTAATGAGTACTTAAGCCAATGTTCAATGCTTGAAAGAATAAACTTTATTTCATAAATGCTACTTTTAAATATCAGTCATAAATTTAGCAACATATTTATCTACTCACCGAGAAACATTGGCTATATTGGTTACCACCGGACTACGAGCAGCTGGCTTCTCATCTTCACTCTCTTCTGAAATATCACTGTTAGACCTAGAAAGACTATGCCGATAATATGATTTTATAGGAGGTGGAGGTAACTGAGGGGATTCTGACTTTTCAGCACCTGCTTTTGCACTTGACCTCGATCTTGACCTCGACCTCGACCTGGATCGAGTTTTTGTACGACGAGAGCGCAGGTGTGACCGAGATCTTGACCTTGAAGTTGATAAGGAGCGTGATCTACAAGAAGACAAACATCATGAACTTCGAAAAGAATTTCCATTTTAATGGTAATTATAAAAAATGTTTATAAATCACATTAATTTTAAATTTAATTTGAAAGAACTCCATTTCAATAAATTTCATTAATTTGTTAATACACAATGTACACAATACTTAATACACAATGTAGACAATTTTTATCAGTTTTGAGTGAAAAGAAGCAGTAAGATTTTCATTTATTTATTTTGGACATGATTGTGACTTTCATTTCATGTAAAACTTTGGGTTTACATGCATAGAAAATGACCTTATCCAGGACCATAGATGATTTCATTTATTCTGATACTGATATTTTGGTAAGTTTCCACCAGCTAAAAATGCTCCATGCTAAAAACATGATGATTTTGAATTTACAAACTGCAATAGCAAAAAGCAAAAGAACAGCAAAAGAAAATGTATCAAGAAATCGACTTTACTGAAATATTTAAAAGGTCAATCTCAATATAGCATGGATGATAAGAAAAAGAAATTCAATGAGTATGGACTTTCAAAATATACACGAGAGTTAGCAAAATCTAATAAGATTAAAAGCAGAAATGAAAAGATAAACCTCGTTACCTGGAATTCCTTTACCAAGAAACTTTATTCTAATAAAAATGAAAATTGCTGGCAAACCCCAAAGACACCCATAAAAATTTCTGAAAGTTTTATCCAATTGGACAATGCCCAAAATAATTGTTTTAATAAATTATATACTGAAGGATATGCCACCAATGAGACTGAAATTGAAGAATCTGATTCTGAAACGACTAAGAACAAAAATCTTACCAATTGTAATAACAACCACGGAAAAAATACACTGGAAAAAGATCAACAAGTACTTCATTAGCGAATGCTCAGAGGAATTTGAAGTTAATGTGAAGAAAGGCTCCATCTTCACATACTTCAAGAATAGATTACAGAAAAATAACTAGATATTTTCAAATCACAGGTTTACCTTTTTACATCTATCAGCTAGAATATAGAAAGACAATCAAAGCCATTTTTAAGAGACACCTCATCTCAATTTCTGAAGAAAAAATCAAAAACAGTCTCATATGAAAAAACTTTTTCCTGTACTAAGATAGAAGCAGTTTGTCTGCATCGAAAATGGAATACAAGAATCAAAGGCAATTTCAATTTCTTTCATTGAATTAAATAAGACAACCGAAGTATGAACTATCTTATAGGCTAATAATATTCTCACCTTTAATGTCAGAATAGAAAACTTCTCTTCAAGAACACACTGACCCAGTGCAATAAATGCCAGCACTTCAGGCATACTTAGAACATTTGCAATAATGAAGACAGCTGCATCAAGTGCAGTAAAACACAAAGTTCTTCATGTAATCTTAAAGAAAATGAAAAGCATATCTGCATTTTTTGTCATGGCCATCATGTAAGTTATTACTTTGTTTCCTGGGTTTACAAGAATTCCTATCAAAAAGAAATTCACTTCATATCTGGAAATCAAAGAAATATTCGCAAGACAGAAGATATATCATTTCTAAAACAGAGAAACAGCTGAAATTACCAACCCGTATAGAGAGAAAATAGAAGATGGGAGGACTTAAAACTGAGCTAGATGAAGAAGCAAATTGGATAAATGATTTCAGCATCGGAAACTTCATCCAGGAAATATTAAAAGTTACGAAATACATAAGAAAAACCAAGACACTTTATGAGAAATTAGCAGCTAATCTATGAGCAACTTAAACACTTATTTGCTTTGCAAAAGCAGACTAGATTATCTTTTGAAAACAGAAACTGTAGTGCTGAGGTAAAGCAGAGAGAAGTTGTCTGACAAGAGACAGCGGGCTCAGCTCAGTGGCCTTTTTTCCTACCTGATTTCCTCCTCTGGCAAGTTTTTACTTTCGTCTATGTGAAACCATGTTAAACGCACCTAAACAATTTTTTATCACCAAGAAAGGGCTTAAGCCTCATTACGATTTACTAGTCAAAACTAAGAAGAAGTTCTGAGACCCAAGTACCAGTTCCTTGCAACAAATAACATAATTATAAGAGAAAGGACTGAACAGATATTTTAAATAATGCAGAGAATGAAAGGATAAGTACTTATACAACAGAATTTTGTACCTTCTTAATACTAAACCCTTATCTAACCACTCGTTTACCATGAGTATTATATTTTGAAGATATGCATAACAGATTTATGTATGTTTTCTTGAGTTTTATATTTTTAATTTATCTAATTATCAGCAAAATGCTTATTGAGAAGAGTGTAATAAAATTTCATATTCACTTAGTGTGATACAAACCAAAGCATAAGGCATTTTCCATTTATAAAAAGCAGACAAAAAGTTCTGCAGGTCTGTGTGTTTATATGTATCTTTAACACATTAAATATGTTTCATATCACAGTTTTAAAACTTCTTACACAAGGCTAATGTCATTATATGATTTTAAATATCACATGTAATAAATACGAATTTTCAATAATGTTTTAATCGCTATAATTTTCATAGTGAATGTTTTTATAAAAATGCATTAATAAATAAGCATTTCATTAAAAGTAATATATATATTGACACAAACCTAGACCGAGAACTGCTCCTATGAGAATGTTTTTTCTTTGCTTTTTTATCTACCTTCCTAGATGATGATGATGATCTACCAGAAGATGAATTCGAATCATGCCTAGATCTTCTGCCAGAATAATGCTTATGATCTCTTCCATGCTTTTTTTTAGGAAAGCCTGATGATCTAGACGAATCAGAATAAGAACTATTTCTAGAAACACGAGAATCTGAAACATGCTTTTCTTCATTTCCATTTTTTGATGGTAACTGTGGTCCTATAAGAGATCCTGAACTTTCTTTAGATCTAAAATAAAGAATGAAATAAGTCTGAATATTCTACTTCAAATCATGTAAAGCAGAGCACATTACTCTGTGAATAGGAGAGAAGGAGGGATTTAACTTTTCACAGTAAAATTATAAAAAAATATATTTCCCACAATACTCTAAATTAACAATATTTTTTCATTGCAAGAAGTATTAATAAAGATTAGACACTATTAGATACCTAAAAATGACATAATTGAAAAGCTAATATTTTATCTACCGTTTCCCAAGAAACAAAATAAATTTTGAGAATCCTTGTGTCAAAAATATACTATTTGTTTATTAACAATTAATACTTCTAATAAAAACAAATTTTTGACGAATTTCAAGACTTCATTAAAATATTAAATTGCAGCATTTCAAATTTAATTACACAGGTATGAGAATTTTTCAATTTTGTCATTTTTAAATTATTCCAAATTTTACTTAAGACTTTACCAAATTTACTAAGACCTCAATTTAACAACATCTCTCTAAAGACTAGTTTCTAAAGGCTCTTTTTGTGCATTGGAAATTATTTTTTTTAAATTAAAATAACAATACCTAATCTATACAGAGACTAATCCCAATTTTACAACTTTTCTTTAGCCTGGCTTGAAACAATTTTTAAAAAGTAATATTTCTGCTGCGTGTAAAAAAATTTGATGATGAATATTATTCAATGACAAAAGTTATGTTTTCAACAAAATTAATTATTCAGTTCTGAAGAATAAACCATATTTGGGCATGATAAGTAGGATGTTTACATACATTGACACGTATAATTCAACTTGGATATTGTCGAATTCCTCAATAATCACTTCAAATCATCTGTTTTAGAAATATAATGGACGTAAATTATTATCCTCAAGGTAATTCTCAAAGAAAGAAATCTACTGGTACCAAGTGAGGAGAACAAGCCATCTGGTCAATGTTTCTCATAATGTACTTGATTCTTAAACTGAAAATAATTCAAATAAACTATAATTTTTGCCAACTGAAGATTTAGATATATGATACATATTATAGATCTAATAGCAGATGTTAAAATTCGTAACTAGGTATAAGAAATCTGGATACTAAATACATAAGAGCATATAAATAAGAAGACATAATACAAAAATATCATTATGTATACAGGGCCTGGTAGACATAATGACATCTTTTCCTAAGTTGGTAATGTATATAAAAATTAGAATTATGTTTTGCTCATAAAATCACAAGTACGTATTAATGAAGCATGCCCTAAATGTTTGGTGATATATTCAGACCATCTAATGTGAGACATTCACATATTCTACCAACTCATTCAGGCAAACTTTAGGACATATATCAATAACAATATCAGCACATTTTCTCCAAGTCCTGTCTTTAAATTCCTAAGTGCTGTGGGATTACTCTCACACATAACACTGTATCAATGTGTATTTCATGCAGTTGGAACTATATTAAAAAAAGGGTATGGCCCATCAACGGTCGAGCGGCATCGTCGCTAAACACTGGTAGTTTGGTCTGAGGTTAAAATCCTGCAAAGGGGCTGGCTGCATAGCCGTTTTCGTGGTTTTCCCCATGTGTAAAGTGTATAAGAGCCACTTTACCTTGGAATGTCCTCCACAAAGGCATTACTTTCCTTAGGCAGATAGCCCTCAAGGCTTTGTTGTAACCACATAAACGAAACAAAAAAGGGTATTACTTCTGCCAGATCCTATACTATAAATATTATATATATTCTTGAAGACATATGAAAATTACGGATATTTTTTGTAGCAACCCAGGTATGCATATGGCACATGTGTGTTTGAGCCATGAGGATTAGCACTTTTAAAATTCAATGAACTTTTTCTGATTAGTATTTCTTTTTGCAGTAAGTACGAATATTTTTTTTTAGCAAATTTTAATGGGACTGTAGAGTTTGCCAGTGATTAAAATAAAAGGAATTGTTGTAATTTCTTCAGAAACAAGAAGTTTTGCCTAACAATACAAAATCCAAAAACTCACATTCTATGAAGTTAAACTTCTTAAATGAATGAATTTTATTGAAATCCAATGTGAAGAATTGCAAGTGCCAGAATGCAAGTCAAACTAGTTTAAAAATAGGCAATATCTTATTTATAATAATTATTCTCTTTATTTTTTTATCATATGTAGGAATGTATGTCAGCAAAATTCTGTGAAAAAGAACTGGGATTATCTCCCATATTAAGTATGAATTGGTGTAATTACCTCCAAGAAGTTTATGAGCCTTCTATAAAAAAAGAAGAATATAAAAAAAGGGAGCAATACTAGATGCACCACTGAAACAGATACCCATACAAACATTTCTTTCCAAAATCAGCAATGAGTTAGCAAATGCTTTCCACAGTCAGCAATCAGTTCACAACTTTTCAGTAGGGATTGTGGATAATCAGAAAATACCAAATTACATTATACATATACAAATATTATTAATTTCTTACCTAGAACTTTTGCCTTGCTTAGAAACTAATGTGCCTTTTTCTCCAAGCTTATTTAAATGTTCTCCCTCAAAACAATCATCACCAAAACTTGTTATAAACATAATTTTACCGGCATCTGGAGGGGAGCGAGAACGTGATTTTGATGTCGAATGCCTGGAAGGCAGAATTTTCTTTCATTAACAGAAAACATACAAACATCTTGTTTAAATTACAAAATTATTTTTGAAAAACATAACTGCATGATGAAAAATCTATAATCTGCTAACACTTATTTACAACAGTTTATTATATAACTAGCTGTGAACAGTTTACCTCATTGGTGCATACGTTGGACTATCTCGAGCTGCATAGCTATAAATAAAAACACAAAATTAATCAAAAATAATTTTTACAAGAAAATAAAATTGCATAAAATTATTAAAAGAAAAATGTAACTGTACACACACAAACACAATATATATATATATACCTAGGAGGACTGGTTATTTTTCTGCCCGCTAGTTTTTTTTCTCTCAATGCACGTCTTTCTCGCCTAGATTTCCTGCCCTATTTTTTATTAAATTAAAAAATACATGAATTCAATTAATATTATAATTATTTTTCATTTTACATATACTCTAACACTACTGAATTTATGATATCTGGTCTAAGGCACGATAAAACTCTCTCTCTCTATATATATATACACAAAAAGAAACATAAAAACAACCTAAAATTTTTTTAAATTTAAACCCATCCTGCGCTATAGCTGCAGGTTTGAAGTAGAATAAACTTAAAGCATCTAAATTTATTATTAAATTGGAATCAAAGCAAGGCAATTCCCCTATAATATTAATAATTGCAAATGTGGATAAAAGGTTTAAGTCAACATCTAAACAAATCAGATTTAAAATAAGAATTTATAGTAAAACAAACTTGAAAAATACAAATGCAAAAGTGAAAATATACAAATTTATGCAAATAAAAATTAATCTCCTTTTATTGAAACTCCAATTCAGAACTCATCAGGGGAAAATGAATTAAAGCTTCACAAAAGTTGATTAATGTGCCTCATTCTCCTGGCTCATTTGAGACCAAAAACTGAAAAAAGATTCCATTAATTTTCATACTAATTTCTGATCAATAGCAATAATTACTTGTTTTTAATTATTAATTTATTTTTCAAAGATTGAAATTTTGTTATTCATGATTTAAATTCAAGGTCCCCGTAAAACGTCTTTTTCATAATTTACATCCAAGTTATTTTAAAACACAATTTCGGAATTAAACTTCCTATATATGGGTTCCCTCTTTTTTGATACTTCTACTAAATTTATATTAGGAGATAATATAATCAATATTTCTTTAGTAAATAAATTATTATTATCTTACTTTTCAGCTATTGTGCAAGTATTACAGAAACTTGTTTTCAAACTAAATGAATTTTAGATCATTCAACATTTGATATCCTAAATAGCAGCTATTAGCGCAATTTATCTTTTTTAAATGCATTACCCCATATACTATCTCTGCTTTTTATTTTTACTTTTAAAAGTTTTTCTGCAAAACCCTTATTGTACTGAAGGTTAGCAGCCTCCTTACTTTTAACTTTTGCTCGTATTTCTCAAATTGAATTCATTAAATGTCATTCCACTAGATGACAAACTTGCAAATTTAACGCCATGCCTACTACAGGCAACACCAAACAACAGTTTCTATGAAAAATATTTAACAGTATTTACATGATTACCTGCAGCACCTGAAGTATTAAATATATAGGACAAATTAAAAACAATCTTAACTTTCGAATCAATAACCATAGAGCTCACATTACGAAATTCAATGCACAGAACAAGACTAGCACTAAAATAAGTACACCTTCACAGATCAATACAGCAGAATTAGAGCACTTTAAACACCATGACTTCAAGAGTCCTTTATCCTACATACAGATATCATGAAAAAATCTCTTCTGAATCCATTTTACAATCCATTTTGGAAAAAAGAATCTTTTATTCTGTCCATACATACAGATGTCACGCAAAAACATTGTTTAAATGGATTTGAGAGCAGTCAAAATGGAGAGCAGTCCATCCACCCATTCATACCCTAAATTTTTTATGATTACAATACTTCCTTTACTTTACAAGAAAGTAAAAATAAAGAAGATCTTTTCCTGAAATGACTCATTACAGGAGATGAGAAGAGAATGCTAATACAACGTTACAAAAAAGAGATCATGGGTTTAAGCCAAAAGAACCTCTCTTGGTAACACTGAGAGTGGGACTGCATTAAAAAAAGAAAGCAATGCTTTTTATATAATGGAGCTTACAAAGGAATTGTATACTTTGAATTGTTTCCACCAAATAAGAGAATAAATTGGGTAAAATACTGTTAATAAATGGTAGTTTTAAAAGAAAATATGGAAGCAAATTAATTAATCTTTGAGATGTTTTCCATCAAAACAATGCTTGGCCTCGCTTTTTAATGAATGTCAGATTAAAAAAACTTATCGAGAACAGCCGAGATGTTTTGTGTCACCCCACATAAATACTAGACCCCTAGACCTTTTCTTTTCAGATTTTCACCTCTTTAGGTCACTTCAAAACTCTCTGAATGGCCTGGAGTTCAATTTTTTGGAAACTGACTGTAAAACAGCACCTTGATAACTTCTTTATGAATAAATATAACGACTTTTTTAAAAATAGAACCTTCCAATTTCCTGAGAGATGGCAAAAAGTCATAGAATAAAATGATGCATGTGTGATTCAATGAAAGTTTATATTTTGTACTGCTTCATTTATAAATATATATATAAGAATTTTTTGGACGCTGCCTGCCTAAGTGTCTTCATATAGGATTCTATTTATGTTACACTTATAAAGATTTACTCATGTTAAAAGACTGCTCATATTCATTTTAAGTAAAATCACAAAAACTTCATGAAGCGAACTTATTCACTGAGAATACAACCCATGATGAACTAGTACTGTTCGGTAGCTTTATGCTATGCAGCCACTGGTGAGTTCAAATAACTCATTAAGATTCAAGTACAGTTAATATCAAATAAAAAAGGGCAAGAAATTTAAATATAATTATTTAAATACATGAAAATTTTCTTCCCCATAAGCATGTAGAAACATAATATATATATAACTATCAAATATAATTCCTTTTTTTAATGTGAAATAGGAGTTACTAAATGTTTTCAGAGATTGAACAATTCACTTTCAATAATTCAGTGGAACAAATGCTATCTTTACTTACATAACTTACAATTAAGCTTACTAAATTCTTCATTTCAAAAAATGTGATTTATTTTTTGAAATTTCCATTGAAAGAACAAGTAATAAGAAGTAAGTAATTAAGAAGAAAGAGCATGAAGAGAATTATTCTGAAAAATCAAAAAATTAATTTTTGCCGTAATAATTTTTTATTCTTTCATGAATCAGTTACCTGCATTAGCATTTATAGTATAATATACAAACCACTAATGAAATTATTCAACCTCTTTCCTGAAAGTACTGATTGTTCACTGCATGATAACCAAGAGTGCTGATTAGTCAACGAAGAAATATCAAACAAGAAAAAAAAATTTGCACACACAAATGTCATATTTAAAGTATATACATAAGATGCATAAAATAAGGAAAGAGGTGCTTAAAATAAGGAAAAGGTTTACATATAAAGCAAGGGAGAGAATGCGAAAGACATTTAACCTATTTTATTCGCAATGCATAAGTCAAATTTGGCACAATTAAAATCAGAGGGGATTCAATACACACATTTGATAAGGTAATTTAATAAATGAAAGTTGCATTTTGAAGCAATATAAGAAATTCTCTGCAAGCAGTTACTAATCTTAATTTCAATTAATAAATAATTTCATTTTTGTGCATATTCATTTAAACTTACAATGCAAAATGTTTTCAAAATTTTGTTCAATTTTGAAAGTAAAAACTAGATAAAAATTCTAAATTATTTCTTTTCAAATGAAAGAACATAAAAAAAAAATGAAATAAATTTAACAAATGAACAAAAAAAATTTTACATTAAAGTATTCAATTAAAGGGAAAAAAATCTTATTTGTTTGATTAAATTTTTCAGTGGTGACTGGAAATTTGGCTGCATGTTATTTTGATTAAAAAATGGCTGTTTGTTTTAGATCATGTTATGTTAATAATGAGATAAAATTAATGTTAAAAATTACAACTGCAAAACTGAATTCCAATGCATTTAATAACATACAGAACTACAATACAAGACATGACAATAAAGTTCTACTTTTAGTATTGTATGGAGAAGCCTCATTGCATGGCTTTCCAAAAAAAAAAAAATTTTTTTTTTTAAAGGCTTGTTTTAGGTGCTGGAATAGGGCTAGAACAAGATCATATTAGTGCAGTGAATGACCTATGGTTACAACAATATACTATATACAGCCATAAAATGTTTCAAGATACATTGGCTTACTTTGGATATACACAATGAGTTGTATTACAGTAAATTTTTCTGAAAATCCTTGCACATATTCTTTCTGGCTAACATCTTTTTTAATTTTCTAATAATGGTGTATATTTACCACATCAAACGTCTTCAGTGGAGTTCTGTCCATCCCAAAAATCTTTAAAGCATTCATAAATGCACTTTAAAGATAGCTTCATTTTCATAAACTTGTTTCGATGCTTACATATTGATGTAACCAGCTTAATAGAAGTCGCCAAACTTTCAGAATGTGCCAAACTCTGTCAACCACAGGCATAACAATTTTTCAGCCAATCATACTCACAACAATTTTTCAATCAAGCAATGTGACCTTTTTTGTATCTATTCCTTTTATTCTATTCTAAGTACCAGCAATTTTTATAGATAAATCGTGATATATCTTTTACCCTAAACTCATTTTTAAAATTTGCACTTATGGATTTTGCCAGCAATGGAAAACAGTTGTAAAATTTCGGCAGAAATAAAGTATTTCACCTCAAAATCTTAATCTGTTGTTAAAGTGATTGCCACAAAATTTTCACCAGAACAAAGGAAATAAAAACCAGCTCTTTAGTAGATTTATTGATTGATTTCTGGGATAAATATCTTATTGGAATGTAAAATCTATATGTAATAAGTATTTTGGAATTGAATAATGACTAGGAGTCTTCATTATTTTTCATCTTATCTTCATCCTTTTTTCAAATTGCCAGATTGCACCAAGGTGGTTGCATTAATAAGCAACTAGCCTTGTTCAGTATTTCTGAATTTCTTTTGCAGATATATTAAACAGACCTCTAAATTTGTTTAATGTTTCATTTAAGAGCAAATGCTATACCTTTGCACATTAGAGTGTTACTAACAGATATCCATAAAATATATTTTCCACATTTTATCGTTCATCCACTACCACACATGCATATCATATGTCGTCATTCACCAAGCTTATTTCACAATCAACAACACACTATATTAACAGTCAGCATTATTTGCATTGGAATAATTATACAATAAGAACATAGGTTTTTAAGCTAAATAAAATCGTTAGCTTTACATGAGAACAAAGTTCACAGTTCTTGTTAGCT